ATTTTATTCTTCGTTTTCGAGAGAGAGAGAGAGTTAGATGTATAAAGAGACAGATATATATATATAGAGAGAGAGAGTTGTAAATATATAAAATATCGGTAATTAAACCTCTATATATATATATATATATATAAACTATTTTCCACCAAAGTATTATATGGTGTTAAACTATAAATGCCTATCGACAAACTAATAATCACAAGGTTAATAGAAATTTTCTCTTCTTTGGTTTTCGTAGCAGTTCGTTAGCTGAATAGATTTATTTTATACATATATACTACATTTTAATTGTTATTGATCCACTGCTGTAGTGCCCGCTGTTAAATAGAGAATACGTATAATACATAACATTGTAAATTACCCGTGGTAAACGTATGCTACATAAATAAACATAATTATTGTATTCATAATAACTAATAAGTATGTATGTATAATAAATAGCGTAATGTACGACGAGCGATTTTATCGAGTTGCACGAGTGATGAACGAAAGAGACGGAGACAAAAATTATGAATTTCGCGTGCGTTGTCCTTTTGCGGTGGTTTATTTATATCTTTATATTGTGTTCTTTTAAAGTATGCGTCGAGATATATGCTTCAGTTGTGAGCACATATACTGAAAAGATTTACATATTATTATATTCAGTTATCAGAGAGAGTTTGGAGATGTTCTCTTTTTTTCTTTTTTTTTCATCCAATACATTACCGACGTTAAAGAAAGTCTTCGGTTTCCATCCAAATAATCGAATTTCGTGTCTAGTATAACGTATTTTCTTATGAACATTTCACCGTTATTCTCCCCGCAGTAGGTAGACGTACTCCACTATTATACTCCATTACACGCGCGGTGTCTGAAACACGTGTATCAGATAGATTATAAACTATTTAAAATATGCGTTGTACTACAATTGAATAGAAAAAAGTTTGAAATCAAGTATATACATTTAGGGTATCTAACCATAGTCATGAAAAATAAAAACAAAACTTGACAATCGATGTTGGTTCAACTATAAAATATAAAAACCTCCAATAGTTATACAGTATTTTTTATGTTTTTATATAATATGGTAAAGGTCCTTATATTGTAAGGGTTAATAATATGACATACTGTAGAATACACCTATATTTAGGACACATCTCACGCTTATTTCTGACAACTGTTCGTCGTCAATCGACGCTCGTTGTACACAAACATTTTTGTTATAAGTTATAACTATTAACTTTGAGTTCAATAATAACCCAATATAAAAGAGTAAAAATATTTATTTTTTTTCATGCACAGGTGTGCGTACATATACCCATACGTGTGCGTTTTCTTTTAAACATACCCATAAGTATAATATTATAATGGAGATAACGGGACTATCTACTAAAAACGGGACAAAACGCGTCTCGTTCGAAGTAGTCAGAAAAAGGGGACATGATACTCAAAAAAGAGACAATCTCGTTTTAAGCAGCACATATGATCATCATATTCACCCTACACCATACGTTGTATTATTATCTCGAAGTAATTAGCTATAATAGTGTATCTGTTTATTTTATAACATATACACCTAATGATTTTATTGTGATACATATGAAAAAATCGATTGTTATAATTTATTATCGTAGTAAAGTCATACAGATATTTGTTAAATTATTTAAAACGTAATGTTAGATTTTATTCGACCTCGTGAAACAACAACTATAATGATGAAATGTCAATTTTCTATTCGTTTTTCGATATTGAACCGTTTATTGTTTTTGCGCTCAACATTTCATAAGAAACGCGTATATGACGCTCTAAATAAAAACACGTATATTTACGTATGTGTGTGTAGTGTGTATACTGCAAATATATATACATTGGTACTAGGTAAGTCCCTACTGTGTAAACATTTAACTAATTTCGTTTGCTGCTCATTTTAATGAGTAAACACAATTATAATACTTTTAATTATTCAGTTCGTGCATTATAACTATAATAACTATAATGAATATAATAGTATTATACACTTATATCATAATGTTGCATAGTGCATTTATAATGTAATGTATATCTATTACCTACCTAATAATATAATAAGCTGTAAACGCTTGAATACCCCTTAATGATTTAATAATACCTACGCAATATACACGCGGTGATATTGTACAATTATGCTGATCCCTGCTCGGACTTGCCGATTTAGACGCATTTTTTTTCATTTTTTCAAAGATATAAATCATCCAAATTACCTACCGTTTGGCATCCATTTCTTTTATTTTTATTTTTCAGTACCTACGTATAGGTAAGTACTCCTCAACAATAATGCGTGGTCCGGGACGACACAATGTGACGCGTACAAAGCAGGTTAGCATTCGACGTCTATATGCATATAATACGTAGTACCAGCTGTATACCATCCATATCTGTGTTAATGTATCATTTTCTTTTTTATTTGAAACTAACGGAACAGGTCATTGGAGTTCCGGGGAGAAAGTACTATAAGTTATAACTGTAAACACGGCGATCCGAAAAATCCCCTAAAACTGATACATTTTCGGCGTTTTACGTTTTTCATAACCAGTAGCCGAGCACAGCATCTAACGGGACAGGTTTGAAATGGGTCCGAAACCGTATTATAACGGTCTTGTGACGTAAAATTTGTGGATATTACTGTAATTTTTTTTGATACCCCACACGGCCACGACGGCTACCGTTTCATATACCCATTATACACATATATTGTATACGCCTTTCTCTAGAGATCAAAAAAGAGAATATTACAATGTATGTACACACATATGTCGGAGAAGAGAAACGAAAAGAAGAGAAAATCACGATGGGGGAGAGGAAAAAATCCGCCACAAAGAGAAAAAGGCGGAACCGCGCGCAAGAAAAGGCGTGATTGAAGAGAATAGGAAAAAAGAATAGTGGGGATCTTTAGGACAGAAGAACTGGAAAAAATGGGTGGAGTATGAGGAGGGGGAGTAAGGAGAAAAAAGAAATACTTTTCGAACGCGCGCACATTATTACTATTATTATTATATAGCAATAGGCGATATATGTGTTATCATCTGTACGCGGTCGAGTTTAGGGGTCAAGGCCGCCCGTTAGGTGTTCTCTCTCGTCGGATACCGTGCCGCGAACAGTTAACATGTATATATACAGGGTGATTCATCGAGCATTACCCCATTTTTTCCTTTAGTTATGAACTTATTGAAAATTCTAGGAATTTTAAGTATACTTAAAGACCATATTTTAAATACTTGAATTTTTTATGCTATTTAAAAAATATCTTGAAACAATGCAAAATTATTTTTTCTAAAGAACTACCCTTTTTATTGTAAACTATTAAACGGATGATTGTTTTGAAAATTTTGATATAATAACTGAAGAAAAATGTTGATTATCATAGTTTCTGAATTATTAAACTTAAAGTACTACGGATAATCCTTAATTATGGGTTAAAATATACGTACGCAGGAGGCTATAAGATAATTTAAAAATTATTGATAGATAATTATTAATAATAAATTAGCCTTCAATAATTTATAGAAGTTGTCTTAATCATCATATGTACTATAGGAACTAAATAAGGCATATTACAACTATTTTATAATTGATATAAAAACATTTTAAGAACTATCGAGGGTTATTAATCTTTTAGGTGAAATTGAATTACTAGAATTCGAATATGATTTGAATGCACCAACATTTTCAAAAAAATCATCTGTTTAACATCAAAAATGTACATTATTTACAATAACATAAATTATGATTTTCATTTCTATGAAATAAACTAGTATCACCTCACGATAATAGAAATTAAACGGTATATAAATTCTAAGTAAACTATCTGCAGTAAATGTGGTTTTCAAGACAGTAAACAATTTAAAAAATTCAAATAACTGTTTTATTAAAGGATAAAAGGAGGTGATTATCGTAGAGATAACTCGTGTTGGAGGATTGGTGTGGGCCATAGGGCTAACATCCATATCTCACAAAATGATTTAAAGACCACTCAGATTATTTTTGGTAAATACGCGATTTCTGCACGATATAATTGGTCATCTTTATTCTTTATTTTTATACATTTATGTAGAATTATTATAAGTGAAATTCCAATAATACTAATTATATTTAATATAAACTTCTCAACTCAAAAATATTTAATATTTTCGTAGGGCGTAGGGCGTAGTGACTCGTGGCTGTTGTGCGAAAACATGTGCAAGGGCGTTGATGACTAGCTATCCCCGTACTTAATTTTATGATAAAAAAATATCAATTCTCCAGATCTCATTCTCGCCCCCGCACGAAAAACTCTAAATTAAAGGCCTAGTTATATCTATATGGATATATATTGGGTCCCGAGACACCATAAACTTAATGGGCCCCCTTTTAACTTTAACTTCAAAAAAATTGTACCACTACATTTTAAAAATTGTATATTATTGTATAATTTTATCTGCACAAAAAATATATATAATAAATAATAGTTATGTAATAATTTATTATTCACATATTATATATATATACACACTGTATTTGTTAAAAAGAAAAACAATTTAATATTTATTATCATTTAGTAATTTTTCATAATATTGATTTAAGAACATTTTTATTTCATAATTATTAATTATCTATACTGTACCCAGTATACCCACTAAAATAATTTTTTTTAAACATTTTTAAAGGCATTAAAAATTTATGTTTATTTGGAAATTAAGATGGGTCCCCAAAATCAGTGGGCCTCGGAACCGTGTCCCCACCCCTGGCCCCACCATTAATCCGAGCTTGAGGTACGAATCACTCTGTATAATATATACCGCACGTGATCTTAAAACGCACACACAAAAACGCGTATTTTATAACGAAGTGTTCTAAAGAGCGCCCGCAGTAATACAAATATATATATATATATATGTATGTATTATATAGATACGCTGCACTATATTTTATTCGGACCGGCCGACTGATCTCATTTATCTCGCGGCAGACGCGCGCGCGAAGAAAGATAAAAACGGTGGCGGTGGCGGCGTTGGTGGAGACGGTGGCGGTGACGGCTACAACGACGACGACGACTACAGCTCCGCGATGAGTACGAGTTCAGTTCAACTACACCTACTCGTTGACGCACATGTGTTCCGGCCATCGAACGTTGCGGGATTCAATTTTATAATTTCGAACAATTTTTTCAAAATATTTTCTTCCCGCCAATACCGACGAAACGCTCTTAGCATCATTTTCACATACTTTCCATCGGTCATATATTATTATTACAATATTATAATTTTATATACCTACACGATGTGCAGCAGTATAGGAAATAGCGTGTGGTTGTGCTCGAAAATCGATCGGTAACAATAATTATTACAATATTCATCTATATACATTTTATCATTAATCATTAAATAATAATAAAATATTGACAACCATCTTATATTATCTGAAAATCGATTTAGGAATTAAGGACGTGTCATGTATATTAAATACAACACGCGCTTACCCACAGTTTATGATATAACATGTGTAACAATATAAATATTGGCGTGTAGGTCAGCGATTATAAAAACATTATCGCATTTTAATCGACTAATAATCGATTCTAATTCATATTTAAAGGTATCATTTATACACCATAGATATTACTGTATATTATGTGCATCGAACGACGATTTTTTTTCCGTTTCTACTTTTACTATATATCTAATCTCCGTTTAATGTATGTAATTAAAATTAGCTAGTATAGGTACATCGTATTTGTATCCATTTATATAAATAATACGTGTATATTGTAACGAATTATATAGTTATTACTGTTTAATTAGGTACATTACTGACCACCCGTTTCGCGGTGAAATTTAAAATATAAATAATATGTCAAATAGATAAAAAATTATTTTCGTCTTTTTTTATTTCCATAATATTAACTGTATTTTATTATTTTATTTTTAGAACGAAAAACCATCAAAGCTGTCAACCAGGATTAGACGGTTCTAACAGCCGACCTAGACCTATAACGGCTGTACAAAACTGAAGGAATAACGCTTTTCAAAATCAAATCGACCTGCATATGCAATACGCAGAATTCTGCCACACCGGTAAGTCATGATAATTTTTTGAAGATTTTTACTTACAAAGAACACTTAATTCTACCCATTTGAACATGTTTTAGTATTTATATTAATTTTATTATAAATTAACTCGGTTTGTTTAGGTCAAATAATATATTATTTTAATACGTTACCACATTTTGAACCTTTTTGGATAAAATTAACATTAATGTTAATGTATCAATGTAATCGAAAAGAAAATGAATTTTTTAGTTGTTATTAATTCATAATAGTGCAATTATTATTAATATGTATTTTTAAATAATTAATTCACTGCTAATGAGAAAAACAAAGATATTTTTGTCCTTCACTGAAAATAGGTGTTATGATGCTTTGAGTAATTGAGTTATTAGGTCTTTAATAATCGTTAACATTTATTATTCTGTTCTTTTTTTTTTTTTAACAGATAAAATCTTTTTTATAATTACATGTTGTGTTACATATAAATTAGTTATAACCCATATATTTTAACTGAACTCTGTTTTAAACAAAAAAATAATTTGAATAATTGTTGTTAATGTTATTTAGTGTAAGTATATTTAAAATTTGTTCATTGAAAATTAAATTAATTAAATTAAAATCTAATTAGTCACCTAATCAATATTTTATAGTATTTCCAATCAAAAATTATTTCTTATTTTCACAAAATGTTTAAAGTCTCTAACCTAAACTATAGGAACGTTGAACTTCTTTCACTATATACAATTCCTAATTATATTTTAGAAAAAAATATTATTGTGGTGATCATCGATCTTAAAATTAATGTAATTTTCATAATCTAATATATTTTGATTAAACATGTTTTAGGAACTAAAATGAAGACTTCGACCGACATTACCATCAACAGGCCGAAACCATTGTTTCCAAAACCTAGTTGCTAAATAATCATGATTTATTATATTAATAAATCTAATGTATATAATTAAATATAAGTACTTTTCTTCCCTTGGTAGTTCGAAATGGAAGTTTCAAGAACAACCCCTACTACGTTTCAGTTAGGCAAACAAACTAACTTTTTGTATTTTTTACTTGGTACCTGAAATAAGTTTGCCTTTCGTACGGGGTTGATTGAAATCTTACTTACATTGTGCTACTATTACTATCTTTCATTATATTTTGTCTGTAATTATTTTTATATTTATTTAAATATATATATCATTGATGTACAACAAATATAATAATAATTATTATCTATTAAATATATTACATTGTAAATCAATAAAAAATATATTTTATACAAACTATGTTTAAAAAAATAAATATTGTAACGTTTAATTGATGTATACATATGTATGTAATATACGTATTTAAAATGAAATTTTCTAATAAACTTCATGTACGTCACAATTTAATGTTTTAATTATATGATATGATTAGACTTAAGTACTGAGTGTTGAAATTCTAAACAATAACCTTAAACCATGACTTGCCACAATTTTTTCATATTATATAACTTCTCAAATAAATTTATATTTTCAATAGTTTTGTATAGGTGGGTACTTATAAATAATACAACAATAACAAGTCATATTTTAATTTTGAAATTTCGTAAAAATGTTAAACATGAAATTAACTGATCAGTTTAAATTCATTGCGATTCATTTTAACTTCAATAGAATTACACCGTAGTATCGAAAATTCAAATTAAATTCATGTATAAATAATATAATTAATATTAACTATATAATAATTTATACATGGTTTATTATTGTTTCAATTACAATAAAAAAAATGTGTTTCGTATTTCTTTTTCCATTATACGTATAAATATAGAGAATATATAATATAGTGGGTATATTACATTTTTTTAATCTGCTGTAAATGATGAATTTAATAGGTAATCAGGTTAACCTACTCACGATCGTAGATTTCCGCAATTGTTTATTTGTGTCAATGGCTAAATGTTTGAAGTTGCTAGTTTTGTGGGACAAATCCGTCGGAAAGTTACCTCATAGATACATTTCCACTCTTATTTTGACATACTTAATTAAATGTAAAACAGTATTTTAAAAGTAATCTAAATAATTTCACACTCTACTTCCGGCTTCCGCTCACAAATTGCACGTTTCTTCTATATTATTTAATATTACATTTATAAAATGTTTCCGATTTCCCGCAAGATTAACAAATAAAACATATGTGTTTTAACACAGCATATTTTTTATTCAGTGAATGACCATTGAATCGTTTAATATTTATACACCAACGAAAAAAATCAACATTGAGTTGAACCATCGAGTGCGTTATACTATTATCAACAAAACTAATAAAAAAATTTACTTAGGTACCTATAAGTTAATAAGGAAGTACTATTGTACTAATTTACAGTAAAATAACGACACATTTTCCAGATTTTCACTACTGCCTATTCATTATTTATATTAAACATCGACGAAAATTACGAGTGGAATCAAACTGTAATTAAAAATAACATTTTTCACAAAAACGAAAAGAAAATATACATTCAGTACAGTAGTGCCGATTTATATAAATTTAGGTGAAGCAAAATCAAAATATTTACACACCCACCTATCCACCACTGAGAATTTAACATATTATATTGTGTTAATATTATATTATTTTAACATATATATGATACATAAAGAGATTGCTTTAGTTCATGTACAGGTTCGGCGCCCAGTGGCGGCGCGAAATTGTGGAGGCTTTGAAGCATATTGTATATTTTAAATATTTTTACCACCACCCTTAATAAGTAGCAGTGGCCAAAGAGCTTTCAAACATGAAGCAATTGCTTCAAATAATCCTATATCCCGCCGCCACTGTCGGCGCCACTGATTCAGTATACATGGTTATAATAAACACACGTATGGCGCTTATTATAATTTAATATTGGTATTGGTTTAAAAAGAATTACATATAATATACATACATACAAGTAGGTATATTAAATTATAATTAGACATTCTAATTTTCACTAAGTGATATTTCATTCTGATCTTTAATTATGATCTATTTTATTTGGCCCTGGAGATTGGTATTAACCCCCTCCCCCTTCATATCAAAAAACTTTATACATAACTGCAGCTAATAAATGTATACCACATGATTATTAATTTAACGCAAGACATTCGTAATAGTCATAATCGTGATAATATCAAACGTATTATACTTTGACATAAGTAAAATTTAAGGTTTCATTGGGAATGTAAGCAGATAAGTAAGTTTATATAATAGTAATATAGTATGTTATAGTAGTATATAGAAAATAATTAAAGGTAGATTTTGGCTGGCAGTAGATGAAGATGAATTTTAGAAAATGGTGGCTAATGGAGAAATATAAATTAATTTTTTTCTATTCTATTTTATAACAAAGCAGGCTAAAATCTAATGAAACAAAAAGGTAAAGTATAAAAAGTGAACAACCAAAAGCCAATGATTTAAAATTGGAAGACTAATATAATCTTAACAAGTAAAACAAGGATTCTCATTGGCAACTTTGCAAGTCACATAAAACGTATCAAGTGAAAGTATAATAAATAGTTGGTAAAGGAAAAGAGAACATTATAGTAAGGAAAATTGGTTCTCATTTTATGAGAAAGAATTCTAAAATTAATTAGAAAACCTGCATTGTCATTAGTAGGATTTAATGTTGGGGCAACATACATTTTTAACCACCTCTACAACCCTACAGAAGCAGTTCATTTATTTCCCTTATTATGGAGTATGGACATGAGAAATAAAGTAAATAAAAATCAATTATATTAATACATGATATTAATTTGGTATATAATTATACACTTTTGTCAAATAAGGAATTAAAGGACTTAAATAAAAATAAATAAATAGCATTATCATTTTTCATTTTATTAATTAAACTATTTTATTCGCTCCTATTTATATCATTTTTTTTTATTATTAATATTCTTATAATTTAGTATTTACTAATTAGATAACATGGTTACTAAATTCAATGATATAAGTAATCTGAAATGCATATTATAATATACAATATTATTGATTATAAATGCTCTATATAATCAAATAGGAAAAGTAAATTGCATATAAAGGTGTATGATTATAATATTTACAATTTGTTTTTATTTACGACCGCTAAAAAACCAGATAAGAAATAAACAATAAACAGTGTATTAATGCGAATTTTGGATGGGCGGTCGGGAAGTGGGAACATGTTTATAATTTATAGTCTATAGATACTATATAGTATAATAGTATCTAATATGATAATATCTTTATTCGTTAGGGAATATTTAATATTTACACACCAATATTATTTACTACAAACACAACAATGAGCAAGAAATACTTAATTGACTAAACACAATCCCTTAAAAGTGACATGTTTGCACGGGCCTCAAGTTATTGAATACTAATATTTTAATTTAATTTTAAATTCAACATTTTTAAAATTATTAATTTTATCTATGCTTTCAAATAAAATATATCCACCAGCCCACTACTAAATAAACTTTCAGGTTCAGCGAAAGCTGCAGCAGTGTAGCACTCGCTGCATCTGTACGCCACGTCTATGCAAGAAAATTAACCTCATTGCCGAAAATGTTCTTAAACATTTTAAATTATTAACTTGTCTTAGATATGAAATGAAAAGAATAAATTCAAATTTTTTTTAACAATAGAGTTAATCGTGAGGAAAACAGTCAAATTTGATGTTTTATGATGTAAAAGTAAAACTATTGTGACAGGTAATTGATATTAATTTACCACATGATAGGTAAACAACACATTGACTCAGCGCACATATTCTGAGACAGGTATGTAGATACTTAGTAAAAAGAGCGGCAAACCCGGTAACCTTAGTAATAACAATTTGTGCGCGTTTAAATAAATTCATTAACCGTCAACAATAGTCAATAATAATTGTAATATATTTTTATCAATTAGTATATTTAAATAACTAAATGTAGATACTTACTAGTCGGTGTAGTTGGCGCGTAATGGTAAACAGCAAGTAAGTATTAATGTATTATACATGGTTTATTCGTTTATTCAAAACAATACAATAGGTATAGTAATAGTTCTAAAAAATAATTTTTCAAAAATATAAAATAGATGTAATATTGGATCTAGTATTTATTATACTTGACTATTTTTATAAATTATAAATGTTGATAAATTACTTAATATTAGTTATGAAAATTTTCAATTCATCATAACCGCCGCATCTTACAAATTCATTAATTATTATTATGGAAATATGGATTGATTATTCTTATTTCAAAGTTAAATAAAATGAAAAAACTTCAACACTTAGTTCGTAAAAATTAAAATACAATATAATTTATTTTATGTATATATATATAAATATGTATAACTTTAAAAAAACAAAACTGAAAAAATTGATGTACAAACTCAAACGGTTAATGTTCTTTCAAAAATACTTTATACTTTATTTAGTCAATAGTCATATTAGAAAAGAAAATCCTATTATCCGATAAAAGCATTTTTTGCGTTTCCTATAATCCTATACAAGACCAATAATATTAATTATCATGATAGGTACATCGATAAACGATATTATTGACTTTGAATTTTGATTCATCGAGTTATCGAAACTTTTTGAGAAAAATGTTTTTCCTTACTAAAGAGAATATTAAACTCCCGCTAGAAAGCAGAATAGAGATCCTCTTTGAATGTACGAGTACCAACATCTGGTTACACTGTTCCAAATCAGCTGTTTGGGTGGTTTTGATAAGTGATAAAAACTCGTGAAAAACTTCAATAGTAATAATAATAATTTGTAAGTTGACTGTTTAACCTTCATCAGGTGGACGACAGAACGATTTTTCTGTTGTGAGAACTGGATAATAATCCACATCGCTGTTTTTCTGGTTCATTTAGTCCGTTTTACAGAATCGTTCAAGATGGCCATCGGTGACTACCCCGCGGAATATAATCCTAAAGTGCACGGACCTTACGATCCGGCACGTTATTACGGCACACCCGACACACCGTTTTCGCAATTGAAACTTGGAGAGGTAATTTTTTTTTCAATAGTTAAACCTTACTTACTAACAAGCGAATGCGAATATGTTTTGTGTTTGCATCTGACAGATCGATTCGTTTAGATTTATTTTATTGTTATCTGTCAATGGCGATATCCTATGATTCGAGCAGCTTACAACCGATAACTATTTGTTGATCGTGTGATGATCAACATTAGATAGTAATGTCGTGTCCCTCAAGTAGTGCGTTTTAGTGGATATGATGCGTATTATTACCACTAATTGAAATCCTTTGACCTTCGAGGAGTTATGAGTATATTAAAATTAATAACAGATTGTCTTCATTAGTATATCCAATATCTTGTTTGTATCATTAATTTATATTCCTGAAGTTAAACCTATATCTTGTGTTAGTATGTATGAAATCAAAAACCATTGAAACAAAAAAAAAAAAAAAACATCCTTTGTCCTTCATTAAAATGTATACTTATTTTAACTTTCATACTTGGACATTTGATGTATTGAAAATACTAATGTTTATTGTTTATTAATTAATATTTATTTAATTTTGCATATAACATACTATTTATAAATTATTGTTCCTGATTTACATTTGTATGTATCGGTATAATTGTTATTTTCATATTAAAATTAGTTTTAATTTATCTAATAGGTAATCACTAGAGCAAAGACTTTCATACACTAAAATTTATAGCTCTAAAAATTATATTTTTTCTTTAAATATTTAATTTTAATAATTTTATTTTTTCTTTCTATAAGTTTTAACTGAATTTGATATCACTTTATTGTAATCTAATCTGCAGATTCACAACTATGATAAAATGAGTCTCTTCTTAATGAGAATATAGAAACAGTTAAATATAATAATTTGTGTGCTTAATCGTGAAAAATATTCACTGAAAAACAAATTTTCGAAAAACCTTCAAAATATGCTCTTATAATAAAAAAATATGTCCTTTAAACCCAAAAATATAAAAATATACACTACAAACTTTGAGATTTTGGTGATAAACGTTTGAAGTGTATTGTATTCTTACTCTGCATACGAAAAAATATGCGAATGCATGAAAGTCCTTACTCTAGTTATCACTTGGATATCAGCTACCTTAAATACATTTTAACTAATAAATAATTTAATTTAATAATAATTAAGTTAGGTATATTATCATCATTTTTATTCAATATTTTCAGGTCACTGAATGGGTGGGACGTCGTAACAAATCGCCAAAAGCAATTGCTGGATTATTTTCCCGTGCTTATTGGAGATGGTCACACAAATATGTACAACCAAAACGTGCAACAGTTGCTCCAGTGATTCATATACTTGCTGGTTCCATGATATTCTTTTATGCTATTAACTATGGCAAATTTGTTCATCATCGCAATTACAAACACCATTAATAGTTTAATATTAAGCAGCAGAATTTATATTATTAGTTTAATAAACATGATGGTTTAAAACACTCGTATAATAAAATACATGTATTTGAATTTCAAAACAACAAAATGTCTCTTTTTTTAATAGTTAGTATCAGTTTGTAATATTTATAGACATTAAAATAATTATACCTGAAGAAAAGTTAATATTAATTATTATATGTGTTGTATACCTGATTATTAAATCTATAATTTTACATTAAGTCACTTAGTAGTGCTTCTGCAAAGAATAACAATATTTATTTTAAAGATACAAGTTATGTTGTATTCTCTCACTGGATGGAGTATATTTTTTATTTCAGTACCTATTTAGTCACTATCATAAAATTCTTGTTTTGAATTTAAATATTCTATATAAATCTTTAGGAACCCATATGTTGAGTTATAGATGAAATAAAATATTAAGGACAATTATATTAAAAATAATTTAAAACAAAATATTTTTCTATTTATTAGCTAAAATAATATACCAGTGCTCAGGTATATTAATTAATTTAAAATAGAACACATTAAAAATATTTATGACTTAAAATATAAAAGCAATCAAAAACTCTTTCATTAACAAAAAAAAAAAAATAATATTTACTAAAATAATAATTTTTAATAGGTAACATTTTCTAAGACAAAGTACAGTTTTTTTTTTAATATCTGATATTATTTTTCAAATACAAATAAATTGCGGTGTGCAAAATGCAATAAATTGTATTTACTCTAAATTATTACTAAATGGCCATCCAATGTATATTCTACTTAACCATAGAATTATTTAACAATTAATAATTAACAGATCCATAATTTTATGTAAAAAAAAAATAAAGTCGCTCTCGATAATTAAGGCCATTAAGTGTTAGAAAAAAAATATTATTTTGTCACTTTAAGAAGTGTGAAATGTGTGTTGAAGATCTTCAAAGTCCAACATTCTTGTTTCTGTACTTAGTGTGTTATCAGCATCATTCAGAGGTTCAAACTGTTCTAAGCTTTTGATGAACTCTTCAGTAGATGTAGGAACTATGTTCAAATCATTAGTAAAAACCTCATAAACCTCGTGATCCATAAAGGAATCTGGTTGAGAGACGTTAGAAGTAGATGATGTGGATGCAATAGGATAATCTGTAAATAAAATATTTATTTTTTTGTACATATTATATAGTGTATATATTATAACAAATCTTAACCTACCAATTATAGGTACGTTTGAGTGCAAATGATCAGACATTGTACGTAACCTTTCAGATACAAGACCATCTACACTTTCCAAAACTGCTTGATTTTCATCACACAATATTGACTCTTCCATACTAGAGCTAAGTAAGAAATCTACTTTAGATGATTGACTATCAAAAAGATTTAAATGAATAGGACTAGAATGGCGATTTAAATTTTGTTGCACAGAAACTTCGGGTTCAATAGATTTTGTAGAGTCCATAGCCCAAACATTAGATTCTTGCTGCATTTCATAATCATTTTGAATGTCTTTTAAACAATAAGAGCCTTTTGGTAAGCCAAACAAATGTCCTAATGAATCATCTATGAACTAAAACAAAAAAATTTTTTATTAAATAAATGTATACCAATAGGGTAAAATATCTCATAAATTTTTACCATTTGATTATTATCAATAGAATTAGATTCACAATTTGATACAAATTTAAAATATTTTGATAAACTTCTTAAATTTATAATTAGTGTATTTAGTTCTTTAGAAAATGCTAGTAGACCATCACTCTCGAGTGTACTGGATAATAAATCCCAAACAGATATTGTTCCAGACAATGATTTTATAAGGTTAGTTTTTTTTAGATGTTTCATTATCTAATAACACACAAATATAAATTAATTTAATAGAAATAAATAATTTATTTTTATAAAATGATTTTACTTGTTTCAAATGAAATTGTAAATTTTTTTTTGATTTGATATAAGCACAACGTCGATTTTTTAAGATTTCTGTTTGAGTATGAGTTTCTTTTTTACCATTAATTATATCAACTAGAATATTAATAAAATATTATATAATTGTTATTAAACTATCAAACATCATTACTATCTATAAAATATCAAAATTAGATTACCATTTATTGGTGTTTTGTTGAGGTTTTGGAAAATATTTTGTAATTCTGAATCCACTTGTTTTTCAGCTGTGTTCATCTTGTGAGTAGGGAACTTTTCAAAATGTTCTTGCATTCTTTTGTGGCCTAAATAAGTTTTACCACATCCTCCACAAACAAAATCTGATTTAACATTGTATTTTACTTTTTTTCTACTAAGAATGTCTGGAAAGATATATTAAAATTTTTATTTCAATATTTTATACGAATACAAATGACATATGACATTGTATTTATTATTTATAACATCAAACATAGTATTTTATTAGTTTATTTTATGAAAATAATTAAATAAATTAAATTACATCTATAATAACAGAATGAATTGTTAAGTAGTTATAGTATACAATATGTTTACCAAAATGTAATAAGTAATAATTATTAAACTTGTCATCCATCAACCAACACATAAATTTTAATTTAAATATATAAAATGAATTGGAAAATATAATAACAGTGATTTGATCCACATAAAAATATTTTCATTTTATTATTAAATTTTGCATTTTACAAAAAAATAATAGGTACTATAATAAAAACTGCTGGCAATGAAATTTTGAAAATTTGGAACTAATTTACATATTTTAAAGTAGTTCACTTTATATATGTTCAATATTTGTGTCTATATAATAATAGGATAATTTTAAATAATCAATATGATTTAATCAAAACTAAAAAATACATCGATAAAAATAATGATGGTAAGTTGAGGAAGTTTGGTTGTCAATAAAAAAGGAGTAATATAAAAATGTTCTTAATAACATTAAATGTTACATTTTTTAACAAATCTCACACAACCCTCTCATGAATCATCATAACTTCTTTTTCAGCTATAAACAGAATATTAATACACCAGCATTTCCTTAAAATATTAAGACATATATGAAAAAGTTTCTACATTCATGCAATACAGATTAAAACTTTAATTAATTAATTATAAATAAAGAAACATTCTTTTAAATTTTAAATGCATCTATATATAGAAAACAAACATTACCATTATTGTTGACTATTAAAAAAGAGTTCTTTTTGGTTTCCATTGTGTTTTTACCATCTAAAAAGTATTTTGGAGGTTTACACAAGCGACCAGACTTTGTAGATGTTAATGGGTACTCTATAATCTATAAAAATATAATAGCAGTTAAGAAATAAGCAAATAGGTATTAAAGTATATTGAATTACATCTTCTGGTTTGATCTGTTTTGAAGATTCGTCTTGTTTTGTTTCACTTTTACTGAATTCGCTAATAATTTTTCTTGGCCGTCCTCGTTTTGGCACTTTTATTTCATTACAATTTGCTTCTAAATCAGTAGGCCTTATCAAACTAAATAAAAATTAATTCATTTTAATAATATACTTATTTTTATACAATATTAATTATTCAGAAAGTTTATAACATTCATTTATGAATTTTGTTTATTTAAAAAAATAAATAAAATTTAAAGTTAAATACCAATAAAAATGTATTTACAATATGAAGAAGTAACTAAATAAACAGTACTGAGTTAAAACATAAAATAGATCATTTTATTTTAATATTTTTTATTAATAAATAACAGTTATAGGAAAAAACTTAAAAATTAATAACGGTATTTAAGTATAAAATTTAAATTTAATATACTTACTGAACAATTACATTTGTATCAGTTGCTGGGTCATATTTCATTACTTTATTATTACCATTATGTATATCTTCATCTTTTAGTAACAGTGATAAATTATTAACAGATTTACTTGAACATGTGTTAATGTGTGGCCTAAGACAATTCAATAAAAATCAATAGGTACCTAATTAAAATACATATTTTGTCATTGATATAATTTGAATTTTTAAAAATAAAATGTTGAAAAAATAACATTTATTACTAACTCAATAGATTGATCATTCTTTACTGCCGAGTGGTGTATAGTTTTGTCAAAAGATAATTTTTTGATTGACTTTGAAGTATTTGTATGAGAAACTATTGGCGGAACACAATCTGCATTCAGTAAAGGAACTTGATGGTCTTCATTTGGAACATAAAAGTTATAAGATATCAATTCTCCAGAAGTCGTTTGCTGTGGTATTTGTACATTGCTTTCTTCGTTCAGCTCCGGAATCACATTAAGTATATACACTGGATAATTTTCCAAATTTTGTAAATCCATTTCTAGAACATAATACCTATATATTAGTAATGCAAAATTGACTGTACGTCCGTATCTACTATAATATATTACCAAATTAATCACTTATCAGTGGCGAAAAATAATTTGTATAAATTCAATCTCGGAAGTCGAAGTCAAAAATTCAAAACCGTGTCAAAATAATATGTACATTGATTATAATATGCTAATAATATTATCTTTTATCACAAAATAACCGTATAATAACAACGTGAATAACATACATTTCTGGGATTTACGATAACAGATAAGTCCTTCTGTATTATCAATTTCTATCTTGTATTCTTGTCCATTCCATTTAACAAAGACCATTATTAATTATTATTTGATACTTAATGGTTTTTATTTTTCCATTGAGAGTTGAGATTTGAGATTTTGAAGTTTTGAACTTTTATTGTAGTCAAGTTGTATTGAATTATTGATCGTCTCGTCTTTGCTAATAGCCAACAGGCAGTAACAGCAATAGTGCGAATTTGCGATACTTGTTTTCAATTTTTGTCAATCATTGTTGGATATAATTTGAGTACTTATCTATTTTTATTTACTCTGTCCTTCGAATTTCATCATCATGGATTTACTTGGGTCAATCATGAAATCAATGGAAAAACCACCAACTGTGGATACTAAAGAAAAACTAAGGCAAAAAAGTAAGCCTTAATTGGGTGTTTATTATATTTATTTTTTGATATTTATTTGTGTTGTTTGGCAAAGTGAATATTCCCTCATTTTGCATTTAATGCCTAGTCATTATATAAAAAGTGTACAAAATCTCTAAGAATGTACATTATATGAATATTGTCTAGTCATTATGTGTAATGATTCTTAATGTATAGCAGTTAATAAACCTACATAAAATGTCTACTACTTAATAAAATTTTAATGCATAAATTTATATGACTAGACATTAAAACTGTATAATAACATTGTTGACTTATCGATAATAACATTCTGTACTCAGTGCACACATGTTATTTATATAATACTATAGTACACAATGGATGCAAAAGCAAAGTTTAATAGTGAATTAAAAAAAAACCGAGAAAAATTAGCTAAAAATGCTTCATATTTAACTGATGAACAATATAATAATATAATCAGACAAATACTAGAATTAAAACGTGGAGTTAAGAAAAAGGAGTCAAGAGATTTTCATCTATTAAAAAGGTAAATATTTATTTATTTTTCTATCAAATTGCATATAATGTGATAAGTACTTAAAAGTAAAAAAAAATTAAATCTTGATGTCTTTAATAATATTAGAATTAAATTTGATTTTAGGTTTGATGTAATATTAGTTCAAGACAAACATCAATTAATAGTTCCTATGAAAGACAAAAGCGTTGTGCTGTACTATGGTGTCTGATGAAAAACTGTACAATTTATTGAAATCAACTCATATTTCTATTGGGCATGGTGGACGTGACCGCATGATAAAGGAATTAAGTAAAAAATACAAAAATATAGGCCGTAGTGATATTTGCACATTTTTACAAACGTGTGAAATATGCCAGGAAAAACAAAATAGTATTAAAAAAGCCACAGCGGTAAAACCATTTATTTTTTCTGAATTCAATTCCAGATGCCAAGTTGATTTAATTGAATTTCATTCGATTTCTAATGGAAAATTTAAGTATATAATGATTTATCAAGACTACCTTACAAAATTTCTAGTGCTAAGACCTTTAAAACATAAACTAATTGAAGAAGTGGCTTATAATCTTTAGATATATTTACTTTGTTAGGAGCCCCTTGTATTATTCAATCTGCTAATGGTCAAGATTTTTCTAATGATCTAGTTAATTGTCTTCGAGGCCTCTGGCCAGAATTAATAATCGTTTATGGCAAACCTAATCATTCCTAAGACAATGCACAAGTAAAACAAGACATTAAGAGTATGTTAAATACTTGGATGCAGAATCAAACAAGTTCTAGTTGGAATGAAGGCCTTCGTTTCGTACAATTAATGAAAAATCAAACTTATCGTTCAGACATAAAAATAATACCTCATGAAGCATTATTTGGTACCAAAATTAAAATAGGAATAAGTGAAAAATTATCTGACAATGCTACACCAAATATAAATAGTGAGGAAGACTTAAGAAAATTTATGGAAAAAAGTAAGGATATAAATACAAAACAAAACTTATCAAATTCCAACGCAGGAAATGAAGAAATAATTTCTGTTATTCAGTCAAACAATGACAATTTTAATGATTCAGGTAAAATAGTAAAAGAAAACATTAAAAGCCAAGCAAAGGAAATAAAAATAAATTCAAATAAAAAGTTTTTACCAGTTGAAATTGGATCAGTTCAACTTCCAATTTTGATAAATAACAAAAAGGTATGGGGATTCCACAAATAAATTGCTAGTTATAGATGCGGTATTTCAAAACTTTATTACAACATAATTGATAAAGATCAAATTATTAAAACGATTATAGTTTTATATTTTTTTTTTTTTAGTTAACAACTGATGACTATTATAAGGCTGGAAAACAAGATGGAATTTTAAAACAGCCTTATGCCAAAAGTGTACTTAGTATATATCAAAAAAAGCTTATAAACATTAATGAAAAGCTTGAAAATAAAGAAGCATTAAGAAATTTGTTAAATGAACAATCAATAAGTTCAGTACAAGTACATACAAATGGAAATGACAAAATAAAAAGTGTGTTTAAATAAAAAACAAAATATTGTGTAATTAATAAATTTATATATTATGATATTGATAGTACAGATAAATAACGCATAAATTATTCTACAAACACATTTATATTTAATAATGCTTATAATTCATAGGTACTTGTTTAAAATTAAACCATAAATAATTTAATAATATTATACAAAAGCTTGAAATATTTAATTTAAAATGATGTTTTACTTTCCCTAAAACTATCAAGTTTTAATTATTATAAGTAACTTATTCACTTTGCCAGTAACATAACATAAATATTATTATCTCTGACTATTTTTTTTTCTTTTTCTAGAAGCCCAAGAAATGTTCATCAAGCAACAGAATAAAGAAAAAGCAAGAATGATACAGTTCCGTAACGAAGTAAAACGATTATTAATTAACTATATATTTTTATAATAAAACATTATATATTTTTCAAGTTATCTAGTGTTGATGTAATTTATAAATTAAAATTAATCTCAAGAATGTTTCTTGGTTGATTTTTATTATTTAGGTATTTATATTCTGAAAATGTTTTTTATCCTATGTTTTGTTTAAATTATAAAAACAAGTTTTGATTTTTTTTCTTTTAAAAGTTTGTTTAATTAAATGGTATTTTATTTCAGACGGAGAAAAAAGTGACATTATTTGTCCAAGATGATCACCAAACCCGTTTGAAATTCCCTACTTTGAATAAAGTGCTACGCAATATTGTGTGAGTAAACATATTATTTTTATCATTATTTTTGTTTTTTTTTTTTTACAATCTATATTTAAGTAATGTGATAAACAAATTTGAACAAAGAAAAAAATAACATGTGGAGGATATGAGTAGAAAAAATGTCTATTGATAACACTCTTTAAATATACATTTATAAATAATAATAACATTAATACATGATCTAAAATCTGAGTTCAGGAATGAATTTTTATTCAAATTTGAGTAAATAATAATTAAGTTAAAAGATCTCTGGATCATTTTCTTTTTAGTTGAAAGTATTTTATCGAATAAGTCTAAAGAGAATAAATTTGATATGAGAGGATGATTATGTAGTTTATTATAGAAAAATTAGTAGAAATTAGGAACTAGAATGGAAAGATCATTAAAAAAGAGGGTTCAATGACTAACATACTAATGAGCAGGACTTGAAAGTTATAGCAAATGCATGTTTTTCTTGGTTTGTCCTAGAATATCCAAAGTAATATACAAATATGTTTCATACTTCTCTGATGCTATTCATGAAATTTTATTTTGCTATTTTTTGCATATTTACGGTTTTTATTGCTATTTTGCTAATTTAGTGTTGTTAGTAGTATTTTTGGGTATGTTTTGTATCATTACTGCTAATGAGCATTATTTATTGTTCTGAGAGATATTGATTAAAAGGATTGTGTAATCTTTATATTCAAGATTTTCAATGCTCACCAAAAGTAAATCTAATCATAATTTATTAGGTATTACAGATTAAAAATTGTGTGAATATATATTTTTGATGTAGACATGAAATTGCTGAGGATGCTGGAATGTTAGCTTATTCTTTTGGAGAAGAAGAAGTTGATCGATATATTATGATATTCAAGAAAGACTTTCCACCTTCTGAGGATGAATTGAATGCACTCAGAAATGGTCAAGAATGGAATGATGATATTGCTAAAAGATTGTCGGAGCAAGTTTGTATTTTTTTTATATTGATATAAATATTAAATATTCGATAACTATATGTTTATATGTATCTATTAATATTATTAAGCTACCAATGTACTTTAACATTCTTACCTCCAACAATCTAAAATTGTGTCGTTTCTTTCATTCATAAAAACTGGCCCAGCCGTCTTAAAGAAAATTGTGTTGTTACTAGTAATCTTCTTAACCAGCCCCTTTTCATTTTAAACCATACTTGGTGCTATATGGTTAAAAAATAAAACAAGTCAACTTTGAGTGTCTTTAATGGATGATTTTTCATATCTAAGCTTACTACAAAAATATTATGTATTTTTTATTATTTCAATTCATTAACATAATACATTGTTATTAATATTAATTTATCTTACTCTTAACACAATAGTAATCTCCTTAACAGATATAGTAATAATTATACTCCTTAGATATAGATCATATATTGCATACAAAAAAAATAAGTATTTTTAATTATAACTTAGATTTTCTAGAATTTTCATATAATAATTAAGTACTGGAGCTTTATATTTATTTTTTAAGATTGTATATAGACTAAAAATATTAATAAATAAGTAATTTATATCAATAAAATACAAAAGAAAATATGTATGCATGTATAAAAAAATTTTTTTTACTGAAAATAATTGTAAATTTGATTTGTCTATGACTAAATTAATTATTTAATCTGAATATCCTAAATTTCAGATTTTTAAATAATATATACATTTTATAAGGGCTTATGACATTTTTATTATTGCCACGTTACTTGACATTATTTTTACATTGTAGCCCATATTATGTATTTAGTTTTACAAAATCATAGTTTCAACATCAATAACTATGAATATAGGTTAATGTACTTATTTTAAAAATGTTTAGAGAGAACAAGTTAAAATAGAAGAAATGTTAGATGAAAAAAAACGAATGATGCTAAAGCGAACTAACCAAGATAAGCCTAAATATAATTACAAAGAAAAATTCCAACACCTTGTTGGCTTGGAAGCAGCTGAACAAGCAGCACGAAAGACAGAAACTAATAAATCTTATGGATTTGGTAAGTTTAAAACATTTCATTGATATAATTTTAGATTTTAAATCCAACAAGTATTTTAATTTTAAAATGTAATATTCATGAAATAGTTTATAATACTTATGCATTTTCAGTTCCAAGTGAAAATAAAAAGGACTTAAGGTCAATTGAGCAAACACTAGCAGATATACGCGAAAAAAAACGATTGAAAATAGAAAATGGCTCTCAAAGTCAATCTTCAAAAACGAACTAATTTTTTCTAGTTATAGTCTACATTTTTATGAAATATAGGTTTATTAAATCAAATAAAATAGGAATACAGCTCATATTAAAATTACTTAAAACAAATATAGAACAATAAAGTATAAGAATTAAATTCTCAAATTTAAATGTATTATTTTAAAATTATATACTTATTTAACTTTAAGTTCTTCATGTAAGGCAAAAATATTATATATTTGATATTTATTTGACTAAACCGATTGTAACATATAAACTAAATAAAGAATTTAGAAAGTATCTATAGTAGTTTATATAATTTAAGTATTTATTATTATTTTGATATAAATCACATTTTAAAATATATTATGAACTAAGAGATCAAAAGTTATTTCTCTTAAAACAATTATCAACTCTGATTACTCTTATAAATTTATACACATTGAAACTGATGTTAAGAGGATGCCACACCCTCATGTATTGTCTCTGTCTAATAAACATACTATAATATTGTACTATTTCGTCATTATTACATTAAGGTATAGTTATTATAAATTTTATTTATAGAACATTATTACATCAAATTATTACAATTAGGTAACAAATTTAAAATTCTAGGAGGGGGGAAGCAAGTACATGCATCATCTTGCCCCCTCCCCTTAGGATGCCACATGAATTCAATATCATAAAAGTTAACTTAAAAATTAATTTGACTTTCCTGTGAATTCTTCATTGTACGTATAACTCATGAGAAATCTTGTATTATATTTTCAAATCTAAGATGAGAAGAAAATTTTTTATTAATTTCTAACTACAAAATAATTTGAAATTTTGCGATTTTTTTTTGATAAATGTTGTTAAAGTTTTAATTTTTAATGCTTAAAAAAATTATGTATTTTCATTGTTTTTTTAATTAGAATAAACTTTATCAATTTTTAATGAATATGAACCTTTTATTGTATTAAATTTTCAAATTGATATTTAGGCAATGTAGCCATCAAAAGCGTTTAGTAGTTATAAGAAATGATTAAAGCATTTTTTTCAACAGTTGTTATTACAAGCAATATGGCATATATGTTAACATTTTTACAGATACATTTTTTTTTTTTTTTTTTTTAATATTTATAACCAAGTACGTTCTGTAATAGTCGAGCTGTCATAGTTGTAAACTAATAGCTAATAAAAAAAAAAAAAAAAAAAAAAAAACCAAGTACGTATAAACACCATTATATTAATTAATTTTATGATTTGCTTTCCTAATTTTGGACATATTTTTTATGTAAACACATAAAGAAGAACACCAAAATTGATAATGAAATTATTTCAGCTTTAAAAATTCGTTGAATCTGCCTCCAGTTTTTTTATGTTTACATAATAAAGAAGTCAAAAGTTTTACAATTTATTATTGATAATCTAAAATAAATGTTATTTGAAAAATTGAAATAAATGATAAGTAAAAACTTCAAAACATGCGTTATGGATGACTTAATGAGGACGGAGATTACTCTCATACATTGGCCATTTACAATTTTCTAATAAGGCAGTAACCACATACTGAGTATTATGGTTAAAATTCTCAAAACTTTAAAACATCAATCCTCTATAAATTTTTCAGTATAAAAACCATGCAGAATATTTTTTATAAATGTGAAATTAATATTTTACAAGTTATTCTATAGTTAAGATTTCATTTTTTTCTTTTACTATAGCTAGACAAGACCTAAAAGTTAAGTCAAAAATTCCCATAAGTTATTCTTACAGAAATCTCAAAAATATAAATGCTCTTCATCAACATTTCAATTAAATTTTAACAAAAATAAATACTTATTTAAGTAAAACAACAATTTTATAATAAAAAAAAAATTTACAGAGATTTCAAACTCATTTAACAACTTAATGACATCTACTATAGATATTAATTAATTGGAATATGAAAATCATAGAAAAATCCAAACATCAAGAACTATTAAAAATATAACAGTAACGGCCAATAATTTAAAAATACAGAAAACAACAAATTGAGTTTTAGTAGAAGTAAAAATTACCACTTATTTTATTTATATAAATTCCTAAATTTTATTAAAATATTTTTGTTTTATTAAGAAAATATCAAATATAAATAAATGCGAATTAATTATTAAATAATTTACTATAGAAATTATAAAATATATATCAATTACAATTAAATTAATAAACTAAAGCTCAAATTAATACATAGAATAAAATGAAAAAAAAACTATGCTATACAACAAAAACAATTTTAACTGCATTTCATTGTTCAACATTTTGAGCATTCTTTACTTGTATAAACATATCATTAAGTTGTAACGTTGAAGCTTGAGGAAACTGAAAAAAAAAATGAACATTATTAATATTTTAGGTATTTAATATTACAGAATCTGAAAAAAAATAGTATTTAAAATTTTCTCAATTTTCATAAACACATTCACATCAGACAATTAGAATAAAAATATTTTCTGAAAAAACTATGCTATTGCTCATAATTAATTCATAGACTAAGTAAAAAATTTTATCAAATACTTGGCTTAGTCATAATTTTTTTGATTTTTTTAATAATTTATTTATTTTTAATTATAATTAATATATACCAATTTATTTCAGTGAAATGTCTATACATTTAAATAAATAATATAACTATTGAATGTTTATTTTTTTACATTAAAAACTATAACATTATAAATTTAATTTAATAAAAATAACCATTACATTTATTATTTGATTACATACTCAAGATATAATCCTGAGCACTCCTAAATACATTATAACAACTTAAAAAAATACTTAAAACTTAAATTTTAATTACTGAAATTACTTACTATTTTTCTTAAAGTATTGTACAAAACTAAATCGTCGGAAGACTTGGAGACTTGAAAAATACCTACAATTAAATTATATTTATAAAAAATCTATTGACAATTTATACTTTAATTTTTATTTCAGTTAAACAATTAAAAACTAAATGAATTTAATATTTATCATATGACTAAACCAATATTTTTTTTTAGTTTTTATTAATAAATATAGCTCAATAGTTACAATACCAATAAATATTATGTTAATAATACTTAATATTTTAATAACTGTTGGATTAGATATAAATGCACCTTCTTTTTAACTATTATTTTTTTAATTATTAGTTTAAGCACACAAAAATAACTGGTAACTTTTTTTAATGTTGTGAATTAAAATACTTGGATTTAGATTGTTTATCTGAACTCCATCTCTTTCTTTTTCATAATCCTCCCATGCTGCATTTCTATCATTTTCATCTAATTCTTCTGCCTCATTATTTTGTAATAATGAGTCATGTTCTAATATGTCCATTACAAGGTCTTTGTGTTTCAATATTAACTCAGCCATCAAACGATCCTACCAGAATTTATATAAATTATTTAAATAAAAATAAATATTTTTAAATAGTATTTAATATAGGTACCTTAGGTAAATTTAATGTTGATTTGGGTTTGGTAGTATTTGGTTCAAATTCATAAAGTTCTTCTTGGCATTTCAAATTAAAATGACGATCAATTTGATGTTCGTCAACTACACGGAAAGCAGTAGATAACTTTGATATTTGACGTTCATATATTTTTTGCTCCATTGTACCCTTATTATACAATAAAAATTAATTAGATAATAAGTATATTCATTTTTTTAGAATACAAATTAAGTTTTTTAATAATCATAATTACAAATTATTCGGTATAGATAATTTATTATCAAAAATTAATTGTAGAAAAAAATTCTAAATTAACATAATTTAAATTTAAAAACTATGGAGGATCATATTTCCATTATTTATAAAATTATGATATTCAATGATTTTTAAAATAGATAAAGCCATCAAGGTGAAAACTAAAATTATTTTATAAAAAGGCTTTACAACTTACAAAATATCAATAATAAAGAAAAATATTAAGATAAAAAACATTAAAAAAATAATTCCTTACTTTATAGTTTGAATTCAATTTCAGTTATTATATTTACCTCAGAAATTAATCTATAAATATAACATGGTTTATTTTGTCCAAATCTAAACACACGAAATATACTTTGAACATTAAGAGATGGATTCCAAGTCACGTCAAAAATAATAACTCGATTAGCTCCAACTAGATTAATACCTAAATTAAAAGCTTTTGTCGACAACAATAAAAGACGCATTCTGAAAATAAATTTCTTGAGTTAAGTTGTTAATATTTTGATAATGCATTGATTTTTTAAAATTAAGTTTAACAAATATTTACTTATGATTATTGACATCATTAAATCTTACACAACAATCCTCTCTTGCTTTTAAACTAGTTGAACCATCAATCCTATAAAAATCTATTCCGTGGTTCCAAGATTTACCATAAGGACCCATTTCATCATCTATATCTTCAGCGTTTTCCAAAAAATCTTGAATAATATCAAGAGTAAATAAAGACTGACTGAATAGTAATCTATATTAAATTAAAATATATGATTAAGATTTTAACATATAAAAATAATCAATTTTTTATGTTTGAAATTCTGTTGATCATAGCAAATTACAAATGAACTGTTTTTGTGAAAAGTAGCGATTTAGTGGTCATTATATTTAACATCAAAATTGTTGGAGATTTAATATTGTCTGATGGTTTTCTCTATTTAAATAATATGGTTCATTATCAAATTTCTGTTAATGTATGATTAACTATGGATTAAGATATTAAACTTAAATAGATAAATAACAGTGTTATTTTGTTAACAAATAAATGCATAAATGATAGTAATAATTAAATGATTTTATTGACTCCTTAAAAATTGCTTTTTTGAACTTTTTTTAGAATCAACTAAATAGATTTATAAATATGTAAACAAATTATGGGAATAATTAAATTTCTAGTATTTACCAGAATTGATATAGCAAAATTATAGATTTATTTTTATAAAAGTTATACATACACTTTATCACCTATATTTTCACACTCTTGAAGAATTGAAAACATCATCATAAACTTTGAAAACGGATATACTGAATCAAATTTTCCTTTTGATATTAATGGTTTCCACCAGTCAAGGTAATGCATATCTGAGTTCTTAGTGCTTGGCAAATCATAACCTAGAACTGGCACCCATTTAAACAACAAAATTAATAAATTAGAAAAAATATAAATATAATTTTAAAATATTAATATCAATTTAAAATCATTATAAAATATATATAATCCTTGTGTTGGCTATTGATTTAGTAATTCAACAAATAACCATGTAACAATGCCAACAGAATAAGTAGAGAAAAAGAAATGACACATAAAAGTTTGAAAATCTAATACCAATTAAATTTAATTGTACTTTATACATCAATGAGAAAAATAAGAAATTTAGAAGAGAATATTTTCAAAATAATTTTTTATTTTAATTTAAATTATATCATTAAGTAAGTCTTCATAATTAACATATTAGATTGTGTTCAAATTGTCATGTGTATACCAAATACTTTTGTTAAAAACAGTAGTTATTTCTTTACAAATAAAAATTAAACTTACTTTCAACTTCATCAATAGAATTTGAATTAGAATTAATATCACTAGTTTCATCATTTAACAAACGTGATTCTGTGTTTTTTAATTTTAGTTTCTAAAAATACAATATTTTGTTTAATTTTATAACAGTTAACAAAATAAAATTATATTTATACTTCTCGTTTTGATTCAGATCGTTTCAAGTATAATGGTAATAATTTAGGATGGGTCCAAACCATTTGAAGCACATGGTAATTACTAAATAATTCTGTTTGTCTGTGATCATCTAAATATTTCCGATATAATTCTATTTGTATATCAGCCATCTTCAAATAAATTACATATTCATGCTTAGGTGGCAAGAAAGGTGTAAGAACACTATAGTCAAATCTCTAAAAAACAAAAAAATAAAATAATAAATTACAATTATTATTAAATTTAAAAAATAGTTGTACAAAATAATAGATATCAATCTTATAAATTTTAGGTTTTTAAAAATTAAAATAATACAGCTTGATTGTTATATGTCTTGTATTTACATCTATATTTTGATTTATGGTAAAATTTAGTAAAATTAAAAAAATATACCTGTACAAAACCTTCAAGCATTCTATGTAAAACATGAGATCTTCTCTTCATTATTTTTACATCTTGTGCAGTTGAATCAGAGTATTGTCCATTAGTGATTGGATTTATAAAACGATTAGTAAAATCTTTTATTGATCCTAATAAATTTGGTCGAATAAAATCAACCATACAATGATCTATAAAAAATAAAATAAACTAAAGATTCTTAAACAAATAATTAATTTGTTACTAACTTAAGTATTAATTTTAAATGTCAAACTAATAAAAAAATATATTACTATAAATATTTACATTGATATTAAAATTGAACAAATTATAATTATATGTATTAATATTTTAATTATGTGTTAATTTATATGGTGCAAACATGTATATCCAGGACTTACAACCATATTAGGTAACTATATTTAAACAATACAAATAATTTTAGTATAAGCATTAAATAGTATGACTAGGTAGTAAAGCTACTTATATTTATAAGATAAATATCGCAACTGGTTTTTATCGATAGTTGCAAGCTCACTACTTTTACTGTTTATAGCTAGTTTTAATATAATACTAAAAATTTTTAATTTATCATTATTATAACTAATTTATTAGTTTTATTTTAAGTTCATTTTTCAAATAATATTGTTAACTTATAAACTATAAATATAAAATACATACATTCTCTTAAATTATTTTGTAGTGGAGTTCCAGTTAATACAATTCTTCTTAGTGTTTTAATACGATTAACTGCTTTTGATGTTGCAGTGCTATGGTTTTTTAATACATGTCCCTCATCACATATGATCAAATCTGGTCCTGGATCAACAAGACCTTTAGATATAGTAGGGAACTTGTCAATATTCTTGAAATTAATAACAGATCTAAATAACTGATAGCTCGTAACTAATACACCATGTTCTCTTATCCATTCATCAATAATGTTTTTACGACCTTCATATGTTTTTGAACTAAAATTAAAATAATTAAAATTAAAAAAAAATAAACTAATTTTAAAATATTGTAATATTATTACTCGGTCAAGTTAAGTACTAAAAAATGTTTTTCATCATCAATATCATGTAACCATTTATAAAATTCTTTACACCAATTCTCAATTGTTGCGTTAGGAGTAATTATTAAAACAGTTTTAACACCAGTTTCTGGATATCTAAATAATGTATGAATTAAAGTTATAACCTGGAAAAAATCTCAAATTAATACTTCATAGGATATACTATAAATAAATATAAATATACAAATAAAAAAAAATCTATAGAATATATATGCATAATGACATTGGTCTAATTAGGAGACGCAAGGGGTATTAGTACCACAAATTTTAAAATTAGCATCATTAATATATAATAGAAAGTATGGTTGTCATCAATATTTGGTTTGATATTATGAACATGAAAATTTAACATAAATTATAAACATTTTCTTTATGATTTTATAAACGTAAGACAAATAAGCTAATCATTTATTTAATTTATTGATTACTATAGTAATAAAATTTTAATACTATAGTAAGAATAATATTATCTGGAACAATAAAATATTTATTATTTTAGTTTAAAAGCAGGTTATGAACATTTTTAAATTTTAATATTTTACATACTAAAAATTTATTATAAAATTAAAGTACAGCGAAAATCAATTTCAGAACCAAGAGAATATTCATATCTTTAAATTTGATAATAAGTAAATATATATAAATGTGTATGTGTGTGTATAATTAATTGATTCAGCTGAATGAAAATTTGTCATGTTGTACATTTGTACATAATGAAATGTGATACACATCCTCATAATATTTATGTGTAACAAAAAAAAAACACCAAAACTCATTTAAAAAATAGTATAGTTAATGGGAATATCCATTCAAACAATCATATAAAACTCTCACTACAATCACATTTACTTTTTTTTAAATTAAATGTGTTGGGATTAACTGGTTATAATTAAACAAATATTACATTGATAAACCAATTATTTATGATAGTATACTTAAGTTAAAATAAAAATGTTTAGTGCTGCATACTTGTAGAGTTTTTCCTAGACCCATACAATGAGCTAAGATAGATCCATTTCCTTTATGTTCTTTTATTCTTGTCAACGATTCAAACACAGAATTCCACAAAAATGTTACTCCTTTCACCTATATTTGTTTTATTAATTGTATTGAAGTTGTAAGATAAAATAAAAAATATTTATTTTTTAAAATATGGAAGTCTAACCTGATGAGGTTTGAGAAATTTAACAAGATCTGGATGAACTGTAACAAGTTCTTCCATTGTATTTTCATCAAAATCCAATACCAACTTTTTACATTGTTCCAATGGTTTTGGCAGATTACAAAATTTATTGTACTAAAATATAAAAATAAACAATTACATTAAATTTGTTTAAAAACATTAAGTTAGTAATATATGTACTTCTTGTTGACGCCTTTTTACACGGTTCTTACGTAATTCTTCTTCTTTTAAAGCACTTTGCGTTTCTTCACTGAGATGTGATTTTTTTATCATTTTACGAATATTCTTTCGCCCTTTTTTGGGCAACTAAATAAAAAAAAAATAAAAAACTTAAAATAAACAAGCTATTATAAATTTATTCATAGAAAATTTAACATTAAAAATTTAAACATTTTGAGCTTACATAGTTGTTAAGTTTAATACCATAAAATTAAACATTAAATAGTAATAAAAAAATTGAGATATAATAAATATTTAAAATAAAATAAGTTTAGGTTAGAAGGAGATAAATATTGTCATTTTAAAAACAGTAATTGTTCTAAGTTAATTAAAAATATGCTTTACTTACAGGATGATTGTTCAATGCATCACTATCAGAATTATTTACTTCTTCAGATTCATCATAAGACAGATTTTTACTTTAAAATATAAAATTGATAAGTATTTATCTAAAAGTTTGAATTATTTGAAAACTTACATTCTTTTCCGTTTTCTAACATGTATCAAAGGAGATGAATCCTCATTTGAACTGCTACTGCTACTATAATTGCTACTGTTACTGTTACTATTACTAATCAAGTCAATTAAGTTAGCTTTACTAACATGATTATTGAATTTTCTTTTTGGTGTATTTTTAAAAAATTTTGATGAAGAATCTGAATCTTTAGACGAGTTTGATGTTAACAGCTTTCTATACATATATGTATTTATAAAAAAAAAAAAATAATTACATTTAATTTAGTAATACAAAATTAACTATTATAAACAATTGTTAAATCTCTCAAAATTAAAAAAATTAAATTTTAAATAATTTAGAGAAGAACATTTTTAGTATTAATTTCTTTCTTTTTAATAAATAAATAAATTATATAGATAATATTTATGAAATACATATTACACTAATCAACACTATTTAACGTACATAAAAATTTAGTTGTTATAATCATAATATATATAATTATATATTATATATAATATATATCATATTATATATAATTAAGTTTTTTAAATTCCACAATTTAAACCAACAAAAATTAAATAGATTATATAGTTTTTTATGAAATTAAATTACTTAAGTAATAAATAATTTAATAAAAGTATTATTTTTCAAACGAAAAAATAAAAAATATAATCATTCATTTGAATCATGATAATAATGAACTTGAGATAGTGTTTGATAGAATTAATCACTCTCTTTTAATTTTGAAATTCAAAAAAATTAATTCAGCCAATTCTCTTCTATCTTGGCTCAAATTAATTTTAACTATAATTTTGCCAACTATAGTTTAACTTGTATTCTTCTTATAAAATATCTTGAAGTTATTTTTTAATCTAAACTGTAAAAGCATTCTCAGTATTTGGTACAATTAAATGTACGATAATTGTTTTACATTTAATGATTTTATTATTAAAGATCTCTGTTCTTTTCTTATTAAACCATATTTTAAATATGCTTATCTTGTTTGAGAAACTAAGATTTTAAGTCATAACAACCAAATTGAATCTATATAAAATAATGTTTTACATTACATGTCTTATAAATGTAACATTACTAGAGAACTTCATTCTTATAATAAAAAATATTCTCCTTACATTAAAAGATTATAATTATGCCATATTTCTTAAAAAAAATTATGAACAATTCTTTCCTACTTACTACAATTTTCTTCTAAGTAAATCCTTACAATATGAAAAGCTAATATTTTTTCTATACACCCATATCCTCCAAAAAATAATTAGAATTTTCTTCTATTAATATCTGGTTTACCAGCATCTGGCTGGCAATCAATTTTGCAACAATATATTTACTAGTTAGATAACTTGATATTTATGTAATATTTTTTATTTTATTGTTATTATTAATTTAATTTACTATAATTATCCTCTCTGAATATGTATTACAATTATTATATAATTCTAAGTAATTAAAAACTTGCATTTGTTATATATATAAATAAATACAAAGAAAAAAATATATATATTAGTACTTAAAATGTTACAATTTTTAAATAAAAATGAAATTAGGATAATGCGAGGTTGTCTAAACAAACACTGAGGAAACCCACTGTTGCTATATAGTTAGCATTGAGTACATCTTATATTAGAGTAGAAAACTGTGAGTTGAATGTGCTAAATTATAGATTAAAAATATTATAAATATGCAACTACAATACAATATCATTTAATTCTCATTATTTTAATATGAATTTGAATTATTAGTGATACATGATAACAGAAGATCAGTAGATACTTATTTCTTAACTCCTCTTGCCGTCATGCATCACTAGTGAGACAAATCCAAATTAAGATAATCATCGATAAATGATAATATTGGCATTACCTATTTATAGCATATTAAATGTACTTAAATTGTAGTTTTAGAATATTGAAAATTTAATTTCACAATACAACAAATTACTCCACAAAAATATGAAATATTGAATTATTATTATTATTTTTTTTTTTAACATAAGTACAAATTAACACATTGAGTACCATTGAGTTCTTTTTTTTATTTTTAGAAAACTATAATTTTTTTTCCTAGAAACTAATTATCATCAAAAACAATTCTATGTTGGTATTTATTAATTTAGATCTTACCTAGCTATTATTTTAATTAGTTACAATTTCTATGTCATTAGTAGTAGATACTTATCAAACATATTTTATTTTTATAATAAAAAAATAGTAATAACAAAATAACAATAACATATATTATATCTAATTAAAGTCTGACAAAAACTGCATTAAGCGACAAATGCCACCTACTGCAGCTTATCACAGCTGTCAAAGGTTTAGTGGCTGTGGGAGTTTTGCTTAAGTTTTTGGAATAGAATATAGTAATAACAAGAAAATTATAAGTACATATTTTATTTATAATAATTTATAATAGTATGTACAAATATAATATTTGCTAGTAAAATGTTAACATTTTAAATACTTTAATGTTAATTTTAAAGAAAAAAAATCACTTACTACATCTAAAACATTTAAAGTAGTTCAAAAAGTGCAAAAATAATTTTTAAATGTTGACATAAAAATATCGTGAAAATAACAAAATGTCTATATTACAAATTTGGTTTTATCAAAAATCTTGGTTAAATATTCTAGTATTCCTACTTTTTTTTTTTTTTGCAATGAAATTTTTTATTTTTGACAAATAATCAGACTCCAATAACATGATAAAATTTAAAAAAAATAAACAAGATATTGCTAAACAAGCTACAACATTTTTTGCTCTTATAGAAATTTAAACAATAATTACATACTATTTGTTTAATTAAAACGGTACCTTTTTGATCCTTTTGTTTTTGATTTGATTTTAAAATTGAAATCACTTTCATCATCACTCATTGATGGCATTTTAAATGGAGATAGTTGTCTTGAACGAGTAACAATAGTTGTATTATTATGTACATTTGATGAATCTTCTGACATTTCCTTAAAATACATTAAAATAAGTTAATGGTAATACGTAATACATTTTAAGTATGTTAACAAATATACATTATTTACTATTTTGTTAAATTAAAAATTGGTTAATTTTTAAATTAATTTGTGGTTTATAAATGTAGAAAGTAAACAATATACACTGTAAAATTAGTTACCTAAGATTTCACATACTGTAATTAAAGTATAGTTATATTTTTATGAGGGAAGCATAAATTCTGAGATGACACATTACAAATTTCGAATGTGTAGTTATATTATAGCTGGAGTATTAAAATTACTATAGTTTTTAAGGCAATCGAGATAAACAACCCACAGTTACTGTACCTAAGTATATTATAATATTATTATTATTATTCACAGCATAAAGTGTGTTTATTGATTCAACTTAAATGTGTCTGGATTACTTTAGTAATTTATTCCATTCAACAGGTTATGGGCCCAGTAGCCAGATAGTAAGATGTTAAGTTTTTTTAAATAAACAATATTGTTTAATATAATCAAAGTATGTTTGCATAGTAAATACGTAGATTGTGTAAAGCACAGGAAATTTTTTTTTGTTATTATATTTATAGTATACAGATAATTCGTCATTATGGAAAATGAATCTATAAAAATTAAGGAAATTGGAAAACATGGAAATTCCAATAAAAAATGATAATGAATGCAGCCAGTATATTTGAAGTTATGTCCGGAAAATCTAAGAAATCTGTTCTTACAAAATTAAATACAGAAACTGAAGATAATACCTGAAAGTGGTATGGTATTGATTATCCAATATTTAAAAAAACGAACAATAAGGCTCAAAACTATATAGTCATGTCAATGGATGAATAGCCACTAAGGATTAAGGTACATAATGAATTGTGGGATAAGTTGCTTAATGCATATGAACTTAAGTCAAACATAAGTATAACAATGATTCAACAAAAATTCTATAGTTATGTTATAAATCCAGATAACAATATAACAAGTGATATTTCGAAATTGGAATCTTGGTAGAAAATTAAAGCAATATCTGATTTAATGATTATAATCAAAATACTTTGCTCAAAACATAATATGGTTTTGTCAGAAAGTTATAAAATTTTCTACAAAGTATGAGACTTGATACAAAACGAAGACAAAACATAGTATAATTTGTCATCTACTCATGGCGAAAGAAACAAAGCAAATTCAAGGACATGATGTTCAGAAACAGATAGTAGTATATTTTCAGCAAAGAAGTTGTTCGAGCATATAAAGAAAAACACAAAAATTGGCAATTCTGAAAACCAACAGAACAATAGTAAAAAAACCAGACAAGTGTAATCATTGCAAAAAAAAAAAAAAAAAAATAGGATAATGTGAATGCTGGATTTAAAAAAAAGAACTAAGAATGAGATGCTCAGGAAATATTTCTTTCAACAGAAATAAATATAATTCAATTGAAACTACATAAAAAAAACCCAAGGATCAACACAAAGAAAGAGGTGAGCAGTATATTAACCCATCCTCCAAATCTATAAGTTTTAGTTCTTAATATAATATTTAATATGATTAATAGATAAGATCTATCAAATAAGCTTACAATGTCTTCATTTTCAAGTTCAGATTCATAAACAGTATCCATATCATTTATGTTTGATTGAGGTTCTTGAGTCTTTTTATGATAATGTTCAATACTACGTCTTTTACAAGCAGTTAAGCATGAATTTATCACATCATCAATTGAGCTATAATCTGAGTAAAAAACAAACATTAATTTTTTAAATATAATACACAGTACAATGTACCAGTTTAAATTAGTTAATTAAAATGTTATAGTTCAGGAATTCAAAAAAAAAAAAATTCACTAATTAAACTAAAAGTAAAAATTGAAATGTGAGGAAACTGATAATTTATGACAAATCAACTAATTTATACTTCTAAAATGAATTAATCAGCCTAATGAATAACTATTAAATACTATTATGATGTATTTACAATAGCATATTCTTTAATTTTTTTTACAGGAGTAGTAGCCTTTCAGTTATTTAAGAAACCAGAGACAAGTCTTAAGATAACAAAGGTTATTGAAGTAAAATTATTTATTTTTAATGCTAATTATTTCAATGTATATACATTTATTTATTTATAATTTAATCCAAAAAAATAATTTACTTTAAAATCTGCAAAAAGTTCTATTGCATAAAACATGCTTTGTGAGCTAATAAGTATATGTTAAAAATATAACAAAATATTAATTTAAAGGTATTTCAGAATATTTGGATGTATAAAACCTTCAAGTCAATATGTATAGTAACAATTAATCAGTATTGTCACAGTTATCTATCTACAATAGATATTAGGGTTTTATAATTTTTTTTTAATATGGTAGATTCTTTTATTTAATTACGATAGTTAATTTAATAATAAAAATCATTCAATAATTACCACTTTCAATGTCACTGTTGTCTTCAGTATTAATCTGAGGAATTCCTACAGAATTCTTAATTTCAGTAAAAATAGATTTTACCGATTTTAAAGAATATTCTTCATTTTGAGAATCATTATCAGTACCTAAAAAAAATGAATTTATACACATGTTTAGTAAATAACTAAATACATTAAATTAATAAATAATCAATCTTGCAACAAATTTTTGAAAATTAATGTTTTTCTATTTAAGATTCTAAAAGAAATTATTGATCTAGATATCCAGTGATACAAGCAATATCTTTTTATACCACTCTGTTGTACAGTAGGTATTGAGTAGCTGTGATGACAAGTTTAATATGAACTATAGATTATATATCATTGAATATAAAAAACAATTCTGAGCAGAAACTATCTATTAGCCTATATCACTAAGTATATTTTATATTATGTTTTTTAATATTGCTATTAGGTGAAATAATTAATTTTACTATTAGTTATTAAGTAGATATAATCAATTTTTTTTCTGAAACATTGCATATATAAATATTATTATATTTAAAAGATATAGTAATATATGTAAAAGTTTTATGTCTACACAAAAAATAATTTTGAACTACTTAACTATAAAATATAAATATTGTTTTTCATAAAGTAAATAAGTAATTTGGCTCATAATTAAACTTGAAATTTCTATAAAAAAAAATTATGTGTTAATAATTTTTAGATAATTTTGTTTTAATATGAATTACTTATGAAGAACTGTGTATAAAGTTTTTAAGTCTTAGCTACAAAAATAACAAATTAAAAAAATCCAACTACAAAACAATATGCAAATTTTTATGATTTCTAAAAATGTCATAATAGAACTTTAAATGTTCATAAAAATAGTGCGTATGTATTTTAAATAACTTTTTATAACTATAAAAGGACTTGTGTGAATCTTATGTACAATTTCAAAGATTTTTGACTAAATAAATTTTTTTTTACATTTATAGAAATAAAACTAAAACAAATTTCAAATTTCCAATATCTATAAATAATTTAGTATTGAAATATTTTGAAAATTTTTAAATTTATAGAAAATTATCTCATAAAGATTTAGTAAAAATATAAAATACTCAAGATAATTTATTTTTGAATTTAACCAAAAAATAAAATCAATTTTATCAAAAAAATTATTTTTCACCAGTTATTTAAAAAAATATTAGAATTATTAATTTTGACCTTTCTAATTACAAATTAAATCCAATTTTCTAACCGAAATCATCCTAAAAGTAATAATAGGATGCATTTTTTTTTTACTACTTATTGTTTATATACAATGGTGACCTTATTGGAGTCACAGTTAATTGACTCATTTGCCTATTAGACTCAAAACAGCTGGTCTAATTTACACATATACTAATATACACAGCAAGAAATTTTTATTTTTATACATATTACATACCTTGAATTTCAATAAATATTTATTTTTTAAGTAAATAAGTTTATAATTTGAAGCATTTAAAATTTTTTAGGGTTATTTGCATTATTAACTCATTTAGTTAATGGACTCAATTGGTAAGGTCCCAAAGTAAGTCCAATAAGTAGCACCACTGTACATACAAAAAAAACATACTTCATTTTAAAGTCAATATACTTATCGCTCTACTTAGAATCAAAAATTGATTATAGAGAAAATATACAACTAGAAACTTATAATACAAAACTTAAAATGAAAACAATTAAGTCTTAAATATTTAAGAACAAGTCTCTTACTAACATTTAAATTTTTAACTTTATTTTTATTATTATATTATTAGTTTTACATGTCTATATGTAAATGAGAAGAGGTCACCTTTTCAGTAATCATATTTTGATGCTTATAAATACAAAACAGGTTTTACACTGTTACTCATATTCAAGCTCCTTTTCTTTTTAAATATAAATTAATTTATAAATACCAGAATCGGTTCCATCAAGAGTTGAAAGGAATTGATGAATGGTTTCTAACTTATTTATGTCATCTTTTGATTTTTTTGGAGTTACTTTTAAACTTGTATTTTTAGTTGGTATTATATTATTGGTATCATCAGAATTATCTTCATCATCAGTTACAACTTTTCTTTTAGAACACTTTCCAATGGCATTTAAATTAATCAGTCTAAAATAAACAATTTTACATTACAATATTTGAATAATAGACAAACTTTCATGTATTAGTTATATTTATATAATAAATTTATACCTATCATTTTCTTTTTCATCGTCAGATTTTTCATTAAGTATACTTTTAGCTGAGTTTTTAGCCTGGTTTTTTATCTAAACAATATTAATGAAAAATATATTTCATTAATAAGTACTCAAACATATTTAATTTGATAAAACAGTATAATATAAAAGGAAGAATAAAATAAAATAATGTTTTATTACCTAAAAATGATAAAAATATACTTCTTTTAAAATTATAGTAAGCTTATTAATTATTTATAATTATCTTAATGAAAAAACAAGATTAAAATTATTTTTAAAAACAAATAAAATTTTCAAAGAAATTACTCAAAATAACTTTCAGAAATACTTTTAAAAGATAAAAATATTTATAAGCAACCTTAAATTTAATATGTATAATACTTTGAAAGAATTTACAATATGAGTTTAAAATAGTTGTATTTATTAATTCTAATCTAAATACATTATGATTAGACCATTATAGTGGAACCTTTTAAGAAAACTACTTATCTAATAAATAATTTTTTTTTCTATTGTATTCTTATATATATATATATGAAGTAAATACTTTTTAAACAGATTTTTTAAATAAGTGCAAGCAATTATATAATCAGAATTGTACAAAAGTTGTTCAACAGGATATTAAAAAATTCTAAGATAACAAAGAATAAAAAAATAATATTATACAAACATATAATATATTATAATTTACATACATTTCATGCACTAAAAATGAGTTTTTTAAGTGAATAAAATATTATTTCTTTTTAATGATATTGTTCAAAAAACCTTTAAATTCATTAAATGAAGGTTCTACTATATAAACCATATCAAATATTTTAAATAATATTGTATCATAAAAAATCAATAAATATGTTCATAATACATGAATATAAAACTCAATGTTACCTTATTAGTTTTCATCAGTGTACGATTTCTCAATTTTTTTGTATACTCTCTTTTATTACCACTATCACTATTATCGTCAAATAAATTTAAAGGATGAGCTATTTCATCTTTTTCCAAATCGAGATTAATTTTATTAGACGACCTATTACTTATTATACTTGATATAACAGAATCATCCAACCGTTCTAATACAACAGCTAATTTTTTATCTTTCTCTAATGCTGAAAATTCATCTGGAGATAAAGATTTTAGTTGCACACTTGAAGAAGAAATGTTTGTGCTTAAATTATTGGTATCAACTTTCTGTTTCTTTCGTGATCTTAAACTTCTTTCAGTAGATAAGATTGGTGTTTTAATTAAAAGATTGGCTCTTTTGGTTTTGGTTTTTTTATTTGAATTTCCATTTAATATTGAATTATTTACTAACATATTTTCATCTTCATCCACAGGCTTCAATAAAGATTTTATTATAGCAGAAACTCCAGGACTCAAATGTGAGTTAATATTAAATATTCTCTTGAAATTGGTTAAAGTAGAACACGTTTTCTCTAAAACATGTTCACAAATATTGATGAATTCAGTTAAATGATCATTAATTGAATCATGATCTTTAGAAGAAAATGTTAACAGTTCATTTATTATAGATGACTTATATGATTTAAAAATGAAATTAATGCATAAATTGTTTTTAATATTGTTTATTTTGGAATTTTGTCCAATTTTAGCCTCGTTTACTAAGTATTTTCGAACAGTTTGTTTATGATCAATTTCATTTACTAATAAACCATTTGGCAGACATCTGAAAATAATTAATATACATAAATTAAGTATCTTAATTAATAAAAAATTAAAGAATAATTAAGTACAGCATACAATTTAAAAACTAAAACCTATTACATTTTATTATTATTACAGTAATTTAGAAAAATAAATATAATTTTTGAGGCAGTATTCTATTATCTATAAAACCAACATGGTTAATATGCAACCTAACCAAATAGATCAAATATTTCACTGTGTTAAGCTGATTATTAAAGAATAGAAAAATAGTTTAACCCATGCAATATTATTTAATATGGTAAATAAAAATGAAAACACTGAACGGGACGGAAAAGAAATACCAGAATGTTAACATATTTATTTTTTTCTGAACTACATGTAATAAAGCAAATTTACTTTTAGCAGTACCTATCTTGTAGTATTAGTGTTAAAATTAAAATGTATTTATTTTAAAATTAAGAACACTATATGTGCTTTTACACTAATAAAATAATATATAAGCATTTTTAAATTGTGATATTAAATATACAGTCAAACTTGGTAAACTCGAAGTTGAAGTGACCGGAAAAAAATTTGAATATATTAATAAAACTTAAAACTTCCGAGTTATCCACAAAAATATTCAAGTTAAATAAGATTTTTTTACATTGTTTATATAGGAAATTCTAGAGACCAGAGTAAAAGTTCAAGGTATCGACGATTTCAAGTTAAAGAGTTTGAGATAACCAAGTTTGACTATACTTATAACTTATGTTTAAAAAAAGCTAATGTATTGATATAAATAATATTTTTAATTTTAAAATTGATTAAATAATAGGTAAATTCACAAAATATTGGTATTACAGAGTGCAAATTTTTAATTACTGTTCAATTCAGAAAATCAACATACAAAAATTTTAATTTTTTATAAATAATTACATACATTTGAAAAAATTAGGTTTTTTATGGTTCCTTAAGATGTTTTGAGAAATAAATAATTAGAATACTAATAATATACTTAACATTTACTTACAGTTGAGAAGAAAATACTTTTAATACATTAGCAGCTAGAGCTCTATTTTTCCACAACATTTTTGGTACACAATTGAAACATTCATTTAAAACACCAACAGATACTTTATCAATTTCATGATTTTCAACACATCGCTAAAAAAATTATATTTATTTTTAAATAAAAATATATTTGATAAAATAAAAAATATTATTATTATTCGAATTAATTAAAATATAAATAACAGATTTAAATAAAATTTTTAATTACATGGCAAACATTGAAATTGCATTTAATACAATTAGATAGATCACTGTTGGATTTGCACAAGATACAACTATACATATTGCCTTCACATAGTTTGTAGAAACAGTTCTAAAAAATAAAATAAAATATAAATAAGTTCAACATTAAAGCTTACATAAATAATGTACAGTTACTTATTGTAGAAAATATTATTTGTATTTTTTTATATGTTAATATGCTAAAAATACTAGAATTAAGCACAGAACATACTACAATACTGAACGCTTATAAATAACCAACAAAAGAGAGACTTGAAGCAAAAGTAAAAATATTTTTATTGATGACCAAATTCGAACAAAAATATGTGATAAACTATCAACTGGAACAACCAAAACAACCTATGTATCCACATGCCAAATGTCAAATGTACATTAACCACGTATTCCATTACAACAAATCCATTTTCAAACATTGGATCTCATTCAACCTTTTCCAACAACATCTACAAGTATTTACTCAATATCTTCAGACTCACATTTTCTATGTATAACTATGATAACTCAATCACATAAAAATATTCTTTATATTTTATTTTATGTAAATATTGAGTTGTTGAATATTTTTATTATTTTATAATTAAAAATACTTTTTCTTAATATTATATATTGACATTTATTAATTAATTAACAATGATATAATAAATAATAATCAATGCAGATGATAAACTTAAAACTTAATTATGTCCAAGAATTACTTGGACTTTAAATGCAAACATGTTTTCCATCAATTGCTAAGATACAATTCAAAAAATTCCATATGTAGGAAAATTCTATTGATTTTTGTTAATGATCAATATTTTTTTAAATTGAACAAAAAAAATCAGAACTAATTTAATTTTCAATTCAGCTAGTGGATTTTTTATAATTGTGCTTAACTAATTATGGTTGATACAAAAAGCAAACAATAATGATCTAACTGATTCTTTGGTGGCAATATATCTATTTAAAATAATTCTTATTTACTAGTATGTTACATACAAAACATTAAATAAATTATTAAAAGTACCTTAAAGTAACTGCTAATTATTTAGCCGATGTTATTGGCTTTATAACTCAGTTACTAGGTTATACAGTTAATTGTTCTTCAACCAGAGCTGATAAAAAGTTAAATTGTCAATAATTAATTTGCATTTATTCACAAAACTTAATGTGATTGTTTATTGAATTTTGATTAATATCACAAAAAATCCTTCACTTTCAAGATTTATAAAGATACTATCTATGTTTTTTTTTTTTTTTTTTAAATATTATCAAGAAAAATAATTAATGATTTTATTTAAGAGAGCCTTAACAAATTCATATAAAATTTAGGGAGGCCCATAACAAAAAAGTTTAAGAGAAAAATTGACTTACACCATTAACAAGATTTTAACTGATTATAATCAATACATATTTTTCCAAGTAACATAACTCAAGCATCAAATATTTTTTCTTAATTAATAATTTGAACAAACACTTTAATATTCCTTGAGTTACTTTTAATAAATCTATTATTATTTTATTAATTCCTGAAAAATGTTATCTTTGTGGGATATCTGCACTTAGCTTTCCATCAACTAATTAAACTTTTTTTATAAATAGGATAAATAAAACTTACGTAGCAACACAGAAATAGATGACTTTGATGAACCATTATCATTTTCTTTGAAATAATTTCATGTAATAGATCATCATTACAAATTGTACATTCAACTTTACAGTTCAAAATTTCTTCAACATCTAGTAACATATAAAATGCAATTTAGAAATATGGTTCAACTATTATTAACCCATATTTTAAATATTTAAAAATCAATTTATCATATCCCTCAAAAAGAATGGAGGATATTCAATAATTAACACTATAAATTTAGCAATCTTTGGACCTTAAGCATGAGATAACCTTAACTAGTCATCTCAGTTTGGCTCTTGAGATTAGGGGTTAAGCACAGGGCTAATAACTCTGCCTGGTAAAAGAAAAATATCTATTTAGGTTTCATACATCAAGGCTCAGACTAGAGTATAAGTTATTAACACGACTCATAATTTCATAAAACTAGATTAAGTAGGTACTAATAACACTGTAATGTGTAATCTAATATTACGCTCAAAAACAGTCAAATATGAAGTAAAAACATATTAATTGTGTTAGTAACTTCTAAAAAAAATTAATTAAAATTATATGTTTAATTTGATACTTTTGATTTGTAATTTAAATAATTAAATTATAAATTAGTGTTTTTTTCTTTATACTTAAAAAACAAAATTTATAATTTATAAATTAATACTAAATATTAAAAATATATATGTCGTGATATAGTAAAATTTTTATAATTATATTATTTTTCAAGAATCACATTTTATTTGCAGATTCTAAAGCATCTAAGCTATAATAAATTTAATTATATTGTAATATAAATATATACCATGTTGGTGTATTAATATCTAAGTATTAAAATTTAACATTAATAAAGTAAATGAGTTAAATTCTTTAGTATGATGTAAATTTAATTAAATGAAATCAAAATGGGGAATTCAATACTGCGATACAATATCAGTAAATTTTGAACAATATTAATATTTGAAATTATATTTTTGCCCATCACTATAATGATTTAACTCTATTTTTATGTGACAGTAGCATGTAAAAAAGTGTTTAGAGATTATGACATTCTCCTTGAGCTATGTCATTTAATTATGTATCTATTATGATTTATGAGTATGTATGCAGCTTATTTACTGAATTAATAACCAGCTTACTAAAAACTGTATTGTCAAAATATACCTAATTTACAAATAATGTTTTCGGATTTTGCCACATTTCTCTTGAAAAAAAAAACCTTAATACGGCCTATTTAATATTATACGACATACGTCATAATCTTGGATTAAATAATATTTTTATAAACTGTTATATTATAATTGTTTGTGACATGTGGTCACACTGGTTACTATAATTATAATTGTGAATTATCAAGGTAATTTTGGCGGGAATCTGTAAAACTCATATCATGATGAATCGCATACATTTTGTATAAACAATTACTATAAGTAAATAAATATTTAAGGAATCAATAGTAAAATAAATAATGATCCATTAAATTAATTAATATTTATTGCAACCCAACATTAATGTTCTAATAATATAAAGTTATATGATCACAATATTTTCAATTTTTATTATCTTAAGATGAAATAGTACACAGCATAATTATTAGATGTTGAAAAAATAAATAGGCCAAGTATAGATAGAAAATAATATGTCATAGATATTTTATAATATAAACCTACCAATTTTTTATAGTTTGATTAAACTTTTAATTTTATAATGGTTAATAATGAAAGAACAAATCCCAAGATATTAACATCAAAAATTAATAAGTAATTTATTATTTATTCTTGTGTTGGGCATAATATATACTTTGCATTCTTTATAAAAGTTATGATTTTAATACTACAATATAAATATAACAAAATATTATTTTTTTTTTATTCTATATTAAAGTAAAATTTATGGATTTTGATAAATCTAAAGTAAATGTATCCTTAATTTAATGGCCATTTATTTATCAGACATTAAAAACATTATTAAAAATTTGAAATAATTATAAAAACATTTGACACAACAGAAACCAAAAACATAATAATAAATTATAATCTTTAACTAAGAAAAAAAATGAAATAAATATGTTATTGATAATTTATTTTTATTTTCAAATTTCGACCAAATATAGTATAAATCATGAAAAAATAATTCAATGTTAATTTTAGGTCTTAGGATGAATGATAATTATATAGTTATATTAAGTTTTAAAGAAATATTTATTATAATCTTGAATAAGTAGAAAAAAAAATACCAATTAAAGTTAACTGATTCTTAACAACTAAGAAGACTTGAATAATAAAGTTATAGATATATTATATTCTTATGAATAGTGTTATTATAAGTATTTACCTCCATAATTGTCTTTTCGAAATTTGATTTCGTCGCTATTTGGATAAATAGTTTCCATTTTGATGGATTAGGAACTAATCAACTTCAGACTGTTAATATACAAATGCACTGAAATTTAATAACAATTTAAATTAAACAGACATTATACATACAAGTATAAAATAGATAATTATAATTTTTTTCAATATTCAATATACAGACATGCAAAAAGATTATGCACAACGTATCATGTTTTTGTTTCTATGTTAATTTAGAACCATGAAACACAGCAAAAAAATAATTACTTTATTATAAATAATTTTATAGTGTAGTGAAAAATTAGACAAAACAGAAAAAAACATTTTAATAGTAAGAAAAAAGGGTTAAGAGATAAGAAGTCGTAAAACTCTTCATGATCGAGTATTTTAATTTTTCCAAAATATCATACAGAAAAACACAAATGTACCAAGGCGAGAACTCGGCTCTCTGTGCAACACGACATAAGTCGATTGAATATTGAATACGTTGAAACTTCAAGACATTAGAACATAATAAAACGAAAGACTACTAAGTACAACAATATAATTACTAAAACTAAGTACTACAATGGAAATTGTAGTCACTGCTCAACAACAAACGTTCGATAGTAAACTCAGTAATCACGTCAATGGCGTACCTCAAGCGGGAAGCGGCTAGACATCACACATTTCAACGACACTACTTTTTTATGAGCTTCCTAATCACAATAACAGTGTGGTCAACACAATAAATTCAATACAATAATGACCAATTAAAATTATTGTTAATATTTAATAATTTGAGTATTGTCATTAATTAAGTGTACTTATTCAATGGTATTATTTTAGATTCAGAACAATAACAATCTTACTTGCGCCATTTCTGCAATGATAGGAGTAAAAGATTTGTTTTAACAATATTATTTATCACTGTTTTATTCTTATAAGTTATAGAGTATAGACTGAAAACATTACAATCGAATGTTTATTAATTAATAATTATACTTGAATTATAAAAAAAGTTATTTTTTTTCATTTCATTGGCCCTGCTGCTTCAACTTTAGTTAAATTAGGGTTTCTAATGTTTCTATATACTCGTATAATATAAAGTTCAAATTATTGCAGCACACCTTTCAAATTTCACGGCAACAAGCAAATCAGTGTGCCACGCCGCTGCAACACATCCTTTAGGAAACCTGAAACGTTGAATTATTGTAGACATAGAGTTTAATAGTCATCTACCTTTTGGACCTCATGAACCACCAAGTCCATAACTCTAAATAGTCTAAATTCTTATACTAACTCACAAATCTTCAATATAAAATTATAAAGAAATTAAATTAACGCATATTATAAAAAATATCAATATGGGATTTTTGTATTTATAAAAAAAATATTTAACCTTTCATAGCACTCATTTAAGTTAGTTTAATTATTATTGATAACAAGAAAAATATAAGTTAAAATAAAGACTGGATCTTAAATTTTAAATTTGAATCATTAGTCTTCTTTTTATGGTTATTCCCGAATCCCGAGTAAAATCAGATCGTAAAAGTTTATGTTAAAAATATGCTTCAAAGATTGTTTTTGGTAGACAATTTGACCTATTTGGAAATTAAGCGAAAGAAAGGTTTGGCACATGGGTACCGCAATGCTTTAGTTTAAAAATGGTATCGAGTGGAGTGATGGATATGTTTAAGAAAGACATAGTCATTCATTATTTAATTTACATACTAAATAAAAAAAATAAATAACATTTTTTAAATTGAATTAAATTAATATTTTTTTCTACATTCAATTTTGATTTATAATTTATTAATAGTTAACTTCTAACTTATAGATCTTATGTTATTTTAACTTAGCTTAACTTGAGTTAATTATTTTTAATAACTAATAAGTATGCATATATTCTAATATATTTATTGGTGTTGCTAAGAACTAATAAAGGAATGTATTTTACTACTGCAATAAGTACTATATAGGTGGATTAACTCTTGCCTAAAACATATTTGTTATATTATTGAGTTATTATAATAGTACCATAATATATTAATTGTAATTGTCTTTTGATTTGACATTTCATACCTGTACTTTTCTGTAAAATCATATGAATGGATTCATTGTATAAATAGATAAAAGTTTAAAATAATTTTTAAATTTTTAAAATGATACGCAATAGTAAAATTAAAATGTTAATTCTGATATTCTTTTATATTATGTAGAAAAACTAAAGGGAAATTTTGTATTAAAATTTCAAATCATTTTTTTAGAAGTCAAAGTATACAATCTATATCTGTATTTAGTAGACATGATAAGTCTCATATGAGACCTAATATGAAACAATACAAAACACTTTACTGTTGATTTTTAAAGTTAAATAACTAATTAATTAATTAATTAATTTCAAATTTTAGATAAAATAAAAATAAAATAATAAATTTCATTTCAATTTCAACAAATGTTGTCAAAATTCTAACTTTAAAAAAAAGTAACATATATTTTATTTATGTATTTTGAATATTTGTTTTTTAATTGGTAAATTAATTAATTACAAGGAAACTTTATTTGAATTTTAAGGTTTTTGATTTCAAAAAAAAAAAATATATATATATAAATGAAAATATCTATAAATAACTCAGAGAAAAAATATTTTGAAAATTTTGTCATATATATAAAATATTAATATGAAAATTTAACAAAAATTAAGTATTTACAGTAATTCATTTTAAGTAAACAAAAAAAAAAAAAATTGATTTTCTCAAAAACTGATATTGTACAATATTTATTTTTCCAAATTATTTAGATAAATACTGAATAATTTAAAAAATATTAGGGTTATTATTTTTAAATAGGTAACTTGCTCATTTATTTTGAAATGACATATAAATTAATTACTGGTTTTTCTACAATTCTCATGATAATTTTAGTATAAAAACAATAAAAATATAAAATCTTTATTTATATAAAAAATAACTATAAATTATTGATAATAAAGTTTTTTTAAATTTATAAAATGTTCAAGATTTTATTATTTTTTTTATATTTATAATTACAATTTATTTAAGTTATAAGGGTAATACATTCAATAATTACTCTTGTCAATAAACATTCAATATAATGAATTTGAATTAAATTGTAATTAGAGTTACATGAGTATTTATTATTTTTAAAATTTTGAAACTAAAATATACTTATAAATTAATAGTAAGTCAAATAATATTTAGAAATGTCTTAACATAAATGGAAAACAAATTTATTTATGTATCATAGCCTGTCTAATTTGCCATCGTAGATCATTGTGATTATTTTCACCTGGCATTTTATGATTCTGCCACTCATTTTTATAATACTGATGTAATGATACTGGATCCATTTGTTTCTTTTTTAAAATTTGAGAATATTTGTTTTCTCCTGAAATCATACATTAAAGGTTAAACAATAGGTATATAATGTATAACTATAAAGTGTAAATTTTAATTTAGAATTATTATAAATAATACATAATTGCATAAGTATTAAATATGTAATAAAAATATAGGCATATTTTTAATCTTACTCGTTTTTTTATTCTGTAAATCTGTTTGAATAGCTATTGTCGATACAGCTTTAGAACATATTTTTGTTTTTGAACTTGGACGTGACAACCTTTCAAAAATTTCTTTTTTTTTTTCACAACAGCAAACATTTTTAGAATATTTAATTGGCGGAATATTTTGTTTTTCTTCTAATAAATTAATTTTTTTATTTAAATGATTATTAAAATTTACTTTTTCTTCGACTAGTGTTTTTTGTTTTTCATACTTGATAAGTTTTTTCAAATCTAAAATTGAAAATATAACACAAAAATCAATTAATTAATTTTCACAAATTTATCCTTTTATTCTGTAATTTTACAATATTAAATTAAAATTATTTCTAACAAATAAAACTAAACACCAGTAGTCATATATTTGAGCAAAACACAATGTGTCTTATAGGAAGACAAGTACTTGATAGGTAAATGTTTTAGCCTAAAGTATTAAAAATGTTAAGAGATTCATGTCTTGATGATGCATATAGAAACAAATAGGGGTTTAATGATGACAGCAATAGCTCTTAATTAATGAGTTGATAAGCTGTATAAAAAGAAAAATAAGAAATCTAAACACAAAAGCAAAAGTACACCTGAGAACTATAGAAGACTTTAAAATATACCTGCATTAATGTAAAATTTTTATATTTACATCATAAATTAATCAATTTAGAAACAATTATAGTCTGTATAATAATTGACCATATAGTAAATTAACAACATCTTAGATAACCACACCTACCATAGATATGTGTAGGATTTGGTTTGGAAAAACACTGATTTCCTTCATTAAAACATAGACAAAAGATGAACATAAAAATGTATAGTGACACTAGATATACTAGTATTATTTGATTATATAACAGTATTATGGTCTTATGGGCATCTATTAATTTGCATAGCACCCTAATTAAATGATTGTTGCTTGTAAAATGATCATGAAGGACAATTATTGTGTCTGTAAATATTAAATACATTATATAAGTGACTTCTGTTATCAATAAATAATTTTATTTTTCATTTGATCAATGTTGAAAATGTATACTTTAATTTTATTTAAAATTTTTGAAATTATTCATATAAGCATTTTAAATAATTGTAAAAATAAATTGCCTGTACTACCTAAATTTAAAAACTTATATTAAGTTCTGTGTTTTAACATTGTAAAATATGTGTGATTATTATTTGTATGAATCAATTTTCATCTAACCAATATTTTACTGTAATGTGTTAGTGAGTTAAAAAAAATAAATATTTTTATTATAACATACCTTTCATGAATTTTTGAAGTAAATGAGATTCAATATTTTCATACCCTAACTCTTTAAGATGGTGTAAAACTACAACTTGGTCCAATTCCATCGAAAAAATGCTGTGTAATGAATCTTAAAATGTTATGTTTACGATGAATTAATTTATAATATTACAATACACGTCAATATTTTTTACATAGTTACATAAATTATACACTAAAAAAGTTAAAAATTATAGAACAACCAACGACCGTTTAAAAATTTAATTTAAAATCATTTAAAATTTAAAATTTATTGTTATCAGTTATCAATTGACACAGACCTAACCGTCTCTGCAAGTAACAATTGTATATAACAGCGCCATCTCGTGGAGAAATATAAATAATTATTCTCGATAATTTTCCAGATGATTAAGATTTGGTATACTGATAAGTATTATCGTTTGAAAAAATTTTATATAGTTTTATTTTTTATAAGTTCCATTGAATAACATTAATTATTATTTATTACGTTATTTTAACTTTAAAATAATTACAAATTAGCTGTTCTGTGTTCTTTTTCGTTTTGATTTCACCCAAATCTAATTATGTCTGCAATTAAGTTTGGTAGCCACCTAAAAGAATTACGGTTGCACTTGTGTCAGTCATCTCCTTCAAGCAAAGGAGTCCGGTTGGTATTTCTGTTGTACAAGCAATATTTATAATTGATGAAACTTTTATTTGCAGGCAGTTTGTTGAAAAATACTATATATCATTGAAAAAAGCTAATCCAAAATTTCCCATTTTGGTACGTGAATGCAGTGGTGTAGAACCAAAAGTGTTTGCTCGTTTTGGTGAGTATTATTTAATTGAATTTTATTAACAGTTATACTTAATGAAAAAATAAAATTAGATAATCTTAAATAAATATTTATCTATAAAGCCCTAATAAATTTTTCTTATTTAGAATTTGGACAAGAACGAAGCGAACAACTATCTGATCAATCGGCAGATAATGTACTTAAGAAAATAGAAGGATTAGTAAAACAATAGAATTGTTGTAAAAGAAAAATAATGTTATTTTAATATTATGTACATATTATAAAATATTCTATCAATATATTTCAGTTTTTGTAGTCTTCTCAGCAATATTATGTTGAATTATTAACTTAATCCTGAATAACATCTTGTTTTCTTAAAAAATAATACATTGTTTATGAACTGCATTATATTATTAATGTTTGTTGCAAAGTATGAAAATAATTATTCATCATAAAAATAATAATTATCAACCAATTATTAGTATTGTTTGGGCACTATTTACAATAGTTTGTATCATAATTTTGTATTAAATGTTTTGAAAGTGTAAAACTAGTTTGTCGGATATAGATTATTGACTGTGACAGAACTATTGAATAAATGAAAAAAAGCATTTTATCCAAATGTTGTTAGGAAAATATGTAACATATTATATATTATATGTATAAAAACTATAAAATATTAACATTATCTTCTTTTTATAAGTAAATAACATACAAAATTTATGTTCAACATTTAATATTTAACTTGTTAATTTAAAAATTAGAGGAAATTGACTTATAGTGAATCTTTTCGGTAAAAATATTATCATCTTTCATATGTTGACTTTTTATAATAGTTCAGTTTTTTAGCAACTTCTGAACATTATTAAATTACACTATAATATGTTTGGAAAACTTGATATGGTCTATCAGGGTTAGTTTAAGGTCATTATAGTTATAATTATCAAGTTTTATTTATTTTGTTTTAAACGAACAAGCCTTATTATAATTAATAAGCTTATGGAAATATATACAATAATTACACAATGGTACAAAATATGAATAAGATTTAATTTCATAGATTTTAATTTTTAACTTCAACTTTTATTTTAAAATTTAATAATAACTTATAAATAGTAATAGGCTTCTTTGCACATTTTTAAAAATGTAAAATTGTTGGTAGTCAATTCAAAAATATAAATACAATTTTAACTTTTTTTCTTACCATGATAAAACAGTTTTTTGTTAATGACTAACATTAATTTTTCTTATTAAAACATTTTCATCAGATATACAGCAAATATATTATGTTCATGTTAGTAAAATAATATATATGTGAAAAAAAATAGCTATTTCTAATTTAGTATATTTTATTAAAAATGTCTAGGATAAATTGAATAGAACAATTAATTTTACTACCTATTTAAAATTTGATTCATAAATTTACAAACGCTTGATATAATTCTAAAGACTCAAATCCTACGTGTATTTGAATTACGACATTAGCTGGGATCATGAAAACTTTTCCTGGTGATAGTATCAACTCTTGTGGAGCACTTATTTTGCCTTGACCATGGATAACAATAATTATAGAAGCAACATCTCTTTTCAATAATTCATAAATTTCATCTGCAGGAACCTTAAAAAAGAAAAATTATAATTAATAAATTCTTTTAAGTTTTATTTTTTGTATTTAAGTACTTTAATGCAAGCCATTGCAAAATCTGGAACAGGAGGTCTAAAGAGTGTTGTATAAGAGTTTTCTTTAACTCCACAAAACAACTTGGATTCAGCAGGTGCTCCATTAAAATTTAGTAACCTACATAGTGTGTCTACATCAATATATTTTGGTGTCAATCCAGCTCTTACCACATTATCAGAACAAGCCATACATTCAACACAATCTAAACAAAAATATCTTCTATAGTATTAATAGAGTACAAGATTAATTGTAAATTAATTATTGATTATCTTTTAATCACAAAATATGAAATATAAATTATAACTAGTTACTAAACGCAGTTATTTATTTTTAAAGTATTTGATTATAAAGAAATTAAATATTATAGAAATCTAACCACCGTAAATATAAGCATGAGGTTCATTAGCTCCTAAATATATTGCTTGACCTGGTGAGAGTTGAATGTAATTTAAAAAATATATGCAGAAACATCCAACATCATTTGGAAACCAACAATCAAGTTGATTAAATAGTTTTGCTAAAAATACATTTTTTTTATCATCACCTGTAATATAATTTAATAATTACATTAATTCAAATACAATAGACAATAAACATGATTTTAATTATAGTGTTCACTTTTATTTTCATTCATAAATTCTATAAAAGTATCTTAAATATTTGTGAAAACCTGATAGTTTTATTTATATATCACTCACATAGCGATTCCAATTTTTTTTTATGACTGTTAAGATTTTGGCTAATAATTCCTTTTTCAGATGTCAGTAATCTGTAAAATATGTCCTTGAGCAAATGTTGTGAATCAGTAGTATCTTTTTTAAATTGATTAATCAGGTCATGTCCAACAATTAATTGAAATTCTGGTATTTCTAATTGACATAAAATACATTACTTTGGTAATTTTATTTTAAAAACATAATATTAAAGTACCTTCCAGAAAAAATTTAATTTCTGAGTATGGGCGGAAACCACAAAGTCCTTCAAAGTTACTTAGTGCAATAGCCATTTCTGGTTTATGATTAGAATCTTGATAAATTTCAGGATATTGTATATGTAGTTCTTCAGCAAAATCCTAAATTAATTAGGTAAAAACAATAATGTAGGCACAACTTATCAATATATTTTTACCTTAGATGGATGCACTTGGATAGAAAGGGCTGAGTTTATGGACAATACTTTCATTAAAAATGGTAATTGATCGCCAAATTTTAATCTAGATTTTTCACCCAACACTTCACTGTTGCTCTTTATCCAGTCACTCAATTTCTGCCCAGAGCTTTTTATCAACGAAGGGCTTTTATGAAGAGCGCCCATCCACAATTCAGCATAGAATTGTTTTTCATCTATAAAATCTATATGTTTGCCAGCTAAACTCAGACGACTGACTTCACTAGCAAAACCTTTTTTCCCCCACAAATAATTTTGAATAAAACATTGCAACTCAAAAACTTCGAGCATGGTTGTAAAATTTTTTTAAACTAAAAATAAAAATCAAGTTTTGTAAATGAATATAATAACTACAGTAATACGATAAAAATAATGAAACTACCTTTGCCTGAAGAAAATATTTGATAGTCCAAAAGTCAAAGTCAAATAAGCCGATACACGTAAAAGTATTAAATGACCAATTAGATTATGGCATAGGTTTTTGTTTTTTATACGTGTGTTAAACCATAGATATTTAGATATAGGCGTATGACTAGATAAATTATTTAGTGGTGAGGCATATCACTTGAGTAACACAATATCATTAATAAAATTGAATGACTTTATACTAGATTACAAATTTGATGTATTTGTAATTAAAAATTTTACCCAATCATTATGTACTAGATTAATGTGTTTTATGCATATTAAAATGTTCAATATGACAATATTACAATATTGTAAAGTAATAGTAGTAATACAATACCTCTTAGGATGTCTACCTACTTAATAACCTATTCATACATCATTTCAAATTATTTTGTGATAACCACGATTATATCATAGTATTAGAGATAAAAAATGTTTGGTTACGTAACACGACTATTGATAAAATCGTGTTAAACGCGGTATAAATTACAGACGTAATTATATATATTATATAGATCTTCCAAGACCGTGATATTAAGTAACGAGTGGAGATAAGACGTCTATGAAAATATGATAACAAATAGCAATAGTATAATATAGTATAATATACTATATACACAGAATTATTCTTTGGTATAATGTTTTGTTGTGAATGTTGTGATTCAGTATTGAATTTTTCAATTATTGTAATATTCAATACACCTTTCTATCTTTTTGTCTTTTAGTCTTTATCTATATTGTGCTGCAGTTCTTTGTTATTAGGTCTATTTCACATACTTTTATACAAAAGAAAAAAAAATAAATAAATAGAATTTAAACTACTGAATAGATTTAATTAAATTCATCTATTATTCATAAATATATAATAATACTATGATACGTTCATGTCTTAGTGAATAATGGCTATCTCAAATGAACAACTGAATAGTGAATACTCGTCCAACGTCTATCAACTTTACGTATGAAGATATTAACTATTAATTCACAAATAGCATATAGCACACAACTCAGAATCACTATAAAATAACATTCATCAAAAGCAATACTTATTAAGCAATTAGGTATAATATATGCATCATGTCCGTATAGTTTTAACAAAAATGTTCGGTGATTTATCCAAGTTTCAATTTAATGAAATAAAAAATTAAGCATTCATATTTTATTATTTTGTAGTTTGGTTTTATACCACGAATCCACGATAAAGATAAGTTTAATATTTACTTAAATAGAGTTTCTTACATAAACAAATTGAAAATTTATATTAAGCTATATGCTTAACATGTAACCGACAGAGGGCAGTACATTCGTCAATAAGCCCCATTATTTATTACAGTCTTATCTTATTGTAGTCACGCTTTCATACGGCCGTGCTACAGAACCTTATTCAGAACTCTATGTACAGAACATACTAAACATAGATATAAAAAAAAATATCGACATCGATACATCCGTAGATAAGAGACATGGGTATATACTATATTAATTTTATTTATTTTGTTTGTTATCTAAGGATACTCTGAGGGATACACCTTAGTTTTTATTCTTATATACGATACGATGAGTAATTTTTACTGATAAAAAACAGAATTAATAATATACTAACATTGTTTTCATTAATTTGTTTTGTTTTATCACTATCCTTTGTAGCTATCTAAAAAATATATTGTAACGCGAGTCTACACGAGTGCCGAGTAGTATTGAAAAACTGGTGAGTCATAATTATCAAATATTACATGTCTTACCTTATTTAATTTAGGTAATGTACCTATAAATGTTTAATGAACTAAATAAATTAAACATCCACAACATTTAAATCAATTGATCTTATTATTGTTAAAAATCACCCTTCTTGTAGTGAACCAATTTTGAATAAATACCTAAATCAGTATGCCGTTGGAATGGTTATTTGGGCGTCGTATGTCGCCCGATGAAATGTTGAGAAAGAATCAACGTGCTCTCAATAAAGCAATGCGTGATTTAGATCGCGAAAAAATGAGAATGGAACAACAAGAGAAGAAAATTATTATGGACATCAAAAAAATGGCTAAAGATGGACAGATGGTGAGTCATATTTCATATTTTTTACATAATTTTTGTTGTAAGAATTAATTATTAAATTATTTCTATTAAAAAATGGGTTAGCTGGTTAAGCATACTTATTACCTGAGCATCAATGACTATGCAATTGTTATACCATTTTATAAAACTTCAAGATAGATTTTGGTAAAAGATTAAAGAAACATTATTTATTAACAAAAATAATACAATAAACAATGGTAGAATTACACTGATTATTGTTATATAGTAAATTATTAATTACATAATTAATGCCAATCATAATTTTATTAAATAAATGAAGAACTCTAAAATCACCAGTCTTTTCTAAAATTATAAGGCTCAATATTAATCATAAAAAAAGCTATTGATATAATATAATAATAGTATTAATAGTTTCATATAGTAATATAAAAATAAAAAAAAATTTCTTAAATTATTAATTGAGTTTGAATGTACAATATTAAATTCTAATTTGATAACTTATAATCTAGAACATAATATTTAAATATTAATATGAGACAAAAATGAACCATTTAACTTTTCTGTATTAACTTATGACTTATGAACTTAATGTATTTTTATATTTTTAAATAAATATTTATTAAAACAAAAAACAAAATTTTAAAAATTAATAATAAATGTAAGTACCAAGGTTCTTTATATATTTTTTTATTTAATCAATAACTATATCCTCTGTATCCTAGTAACCAAATTACACACATATATATATATATACGGAGAAAAGATTGTTCCTAGGTACTAGTACAAGTATAAACTTTTTAATAGAACAACATATTGATAATATTTTACACAGTTATAAATAATATTTTTACTTAATTTTTTAAAAGTCATAATAGTAAACCTTGTGAAAATAGTTATTTTTTATTTGGTTTGAATCATTTTTAGTAATACTTATATTTAGTAATGAAATCAATAAAATCAAAAACAAAGCGTGTTGTTCCACCCTTTAGTTCTCAATCACGACAACCAAACACAATTGTAGCTGGTCCTCCTCGAACACGCTCATGTCAAACACCAATTGGAAATACTGCATTTCGCCGTTATTATGATAGAGGTGACTTTATGTTGTCTGTCGATAGTGGGCGAGTTATGTGGAAAACATCATTTGAAAATATAGATTATCACCATTATTTACCAATTTTTTTTGATGGATTACGTGAAGTTGCATACCCGTATCGTGCCGTGGCTGAGCGTGGAGCTACAGATATGCTAAAAAATGGTACACCTGATCGTATACTACCTGTTGTGCCCCAATTGATTATTCCTATAAAATTAGCACTTAACACTGGTCATCCAGATGTAGTTATAGCAACATTGAAAATGGTTCAAACTTTAGTAACATCGGCTGATATGGTAGGAGAAGCTCTAGTGCCTTACTATAGACAAATATTACCACCTCTCAACGTATACAAGAACCTTAATAAAAATACAGGTGATGGCATTGATTATGCTCAATATCAACAAGAAGATGTTGGAGACTTGGTGAATAATACTTTAGAAATTCTTGAAAGACACGGAGGAGCTCATGCTTTTATTAATATTAAATACATGATTCCAACTTATGAATCAAGTGTGGCAAACTAGTATATTACATTTAAATATAGATCTTAAATATTTTAATTTCACAAATTGATTTATTATTTCCTTAAAAGTATATTTTAGAAATCTAAGTACCTATTAGATATTTGTTAAATAGTTTAGATATGAATATTTTGAGGATTTAGGAATCGGTGAAAATCATGGCTAGAGACCTAGTAAGAACAAGACGTTACCAGAAGAAATTTATGGTGATGAAAGCTAATATACAAGCAGTATCTTTAAAAATACAAACGCTTAAATCACAAAACGCTATGGGTCAAGCAATGAAAGGCGTAACTAAAGCAATGCAAAATATGAACAGGTAAGCTTTTTATTTATTATTTTTTTTAATAATAATTATATAACAATGACAAAAAATTATTATTTTTAATAACAAGTTCTTATTTCTTAAAATTTTGCTAATACATTTTTCATAATACTAATAGATATTTTTTAAACATAATGCACAATATTACATTAACTATTTTATATTTTAATAGGCAGTTGAATTTACCACAAATTCAAAGGATACTTCAAGAGTTTGAAAAACAGTCTGAAGTCATGGATATGAAAGAAGAAGTTATGAATGATGCTATGGATGATGCCATGGAAGACGAAGGAGACGAAGAAGAAACGTATGATAAAAATAATTTTTTGTAATTATAAGTAATGTTTGAAGGTATTATGTATCTACTCAGTTTAAGAATGGTCAGATTCTTTTATGCAAATTGTTTCTAGAAAATTGAGCGTGTGAGTAGAGACAGCTGAGTCGATGCCAGTAGTTGGGATAGATGTTTATAATGCAGTTTCTATGCATTTTTATCAGACTTGTCGTTTTTAAACTGTATGGAGTATAGCATTAAATGTAAAATATATACTCAATACAGAAATAGTAATAAGTTTTACATTGTATCATCAATGAAATTTGTTCGTAATACCTACAATGATTGGAAATGTCATGCTTATCCACATAATTTCCTACATTTTTGTAATCATTATTTAAACAGAAATCATCATAATCAAACATTAATTAAATAATCAGAAAGATTTTACATTAATAATTTTATACATAAATTTATATGTGCATCTGGTTGATAAACATTATCCAGTAATTACAACATAAATGATACAATTGTATAGTATTGTGGATTTTAAATTTTGAGTATTGTACATCAGTATTTTATAACTATATTTATCATGAAAATGTAGTTTACATATCATATTTTACCAAACTTAATATAAATGCATGTTTGGCCATTTTTTAATGAATATTTAAGTGAAAATTAATTATATTAATACACAGTGGTGTTCTTTCGACCTTAACTGTGTTCTTACAATTACTTTAATGCTAAAAATAAATTATTGTCATAATTTTTAAAATATTTATTTCAGAGATCAAATTGTTACACAAGTATTAGATGAGTTAGGTCTACAGCTTACAGATCAATTGTCTGGTTTGCCTTCAGCTTCTGGCTCAATAAGTATAGCAGCTACCGGAAAAGTACCCATTGTTGCTCAAGATGGTGGAGGTGGTGGTGGTGCTGCTGCTGCACAACCAAATGATGCTGATGCAGACTTGCAAGCTCGATTAGATAATTTAAGGCGCAAGTGAACAATATTATTTGCAAACTCTAATGCATTAATAATATTATATACCAACCTATTTGATTGTAAAAATTTGTTAAATAATAATCTTTATTTTATATGCATGATTTTAGTATAAATATATTTTTATCATTAATAATGATTAATAAATATTATAGAAAATTTAAAACATGTATATTTTCGCAATTTTAAATTATTTATTTAAAAAATTAATGTTCAATATAAATGAGATCGAATCACTACAAGAATTTTGAACATGATAGTCAAATTATTAGTGATTGAGAATAATCATTCCAATACAATTGATTAATATTTTATTTAACTGTGAATATTATGTATAAATGTATAATTAATAATTTTATAATTTGTTATAATTTAAATTGTGTCAGCCTTTGTTCATTTTTACATCATTAAAATTACAACCACAAATTATTTAGACAAAAACACTGATATTCTTATTCTTAAAATTATTTAAATTAAACATTCTAAAAACATATTATTCTAAAGTAGAATAATTATAATTATTTTTAGGACAAATTTATTATATTACATTAAAACAATAATGGTAATGTATAAACAATTTAAATTCAAAAATAGATATCATATTATTTAAGTTGATAAATGCTTAAAATATCATCATGCAAAAATCATACTCATTTAAATGTTTGAGGTATTTTCAGATTTCCGTCACAATCGAAATAGTTGGTAAGTATGGTATTTATTTACCTACACGGTAGGCATTAGGCATTCGTGTCGCCCAGAAATTGTGTACCATATAATTATAGCCACTAATAATATACAAACGCGTCGGACGTCTTATGACATAACACAATATTACTTATAATGTGTGTAACTATTTATAATTTATGTAACATCACGATATAATAATATTAAAACGACAGTAAGAGGTATGGACGTGTACGATGATTAACCGGTTCGGCATCGTCTAAAATGTATAATTTTTGAAATTTGGATTGTCCGTATGCCACCCGGTGGCCTTTGGCCCGAACTTGTAAACGAGCCGTTTGCCCTGTACCGGCAACAAGACACCGGTTTTATAATAGTATCGCATGGCCCTGCTGAACTTCTCGTAGTTCATCCTTTCGTTGCGCTTGAACTTGCCCCACAGCTTCGCCACCTTGTCGCTTTGCACGAACCTGAACCTGCCCTCCTCGTAGTTCTCCCAGCATATGTAAGTTGGACAATATTGTGAGTTTAATAGTAGGTCTCTGATGAATTCCCATATTCTGCTCAGTTTGGGCTCAGCTTTCGACCGTTTTGCCTTTGTGCCGCGGGGCCGACCCGCCCGTTTTTTCTCCATCGACGTGTTTGTCGCTTTGAAAAATTCATCATCTGCATCTGCGAACACAACATTATCACGTTATATTATAATTTTTTTTCACATTATCGCAATAATATAAAGTGATTCACAAAGCACATAACGTGTCCTTCACTATTTTTTCCATAATAACTATTATTAATATTTTATTCGATTTTTTTAACTTTGAATATACTAAAAGACCATAATTTTTAATTCTTGAAGATTTTTTTGTATCTAATTATGAAGGAGTATCTTGTGGCGATTTAAACTTATATATATATATTTTTTTTTAACTAAGAACCTTCCCTTTTTTAATGTAAATTATTTAGTGGATAATTTATTTTGAAAATGTTGATGTATGAGTACCTAATTTAATATTTAAATTATATAGGTACTTAGTAATTCCACAATTATTAAAATATTTATGCTGTAGATAAAATATGATAATAACCTTTTAAAATGCTTTTATTAAAATATAAAATAGACCTGATATTAATCTAATAGGTAATTATTATACTTGAATCATTTCTACAAATAATTATAAATGTTGATTTTGATAAATTAATATTAATTACTTAAATTTTCAAATTACCATAATTTATTCATGTCACTGTTACCTTGGACCCATTATTCTTTGAACATAAAATTAAATAACTTAAATTAAACTACTAGAATTTTGGTACTGCATGTACCTACGTCAAAATTTACAAAAAAATTAACTGTTAAATAATAAATGGTAGATAAAGAGAGTCTGATTTAAAAAACAGTAATTATTCAGTTATTGTATCTCCATAGGAAACTCCTTATTAATATGGTAGGTACTCAAATTTTCTAAAATTTTGAAAATTCGCAACAAACAAAGGCATACACACGCACAAACTTCCTAACTATAATAAATATATTTCAAAACTAAATTAGTTTAATCGGAATCGAGACTTTTAGGGGCACTTGATGCTCGAAATCAAAGTTAAAAGTTTCTCTATCTAAAAAAAAACCGCCTTCTCATCGAGTTCTTAGATAGTAAAACATACAAACTTTTATCTGAAAGTACCTAATATGGTGGGTAGAAGATAGTTTTCATGGGATGGGCGGGCGTAATCGGTATTCAGCGAGTCGTACACGAGCACGTGCTGTGATTGTTCGCTAGGTGGACATTGCCATTGCAGCACCTGATGGGGATGATGATGTTGATTGCCACCCATCGTCGACGGATCGTAGTACACCGGCTCTTGGTGGTCGTTGCAACTTCCATTTGGGGAGGAATAATCTTCCTTTAGATTCATTAACACAGTGGCGAGATCAATTTCGTTTTCGCTGTAGTTGGTCGAATAGCCGCCGTCATAGTCCCACTAAGACAATATTATAGGTACGATGCACATTTAATAAACATAATAATATTATATTATAGTGCTTAATATTGATATATTAAGCGCATGTGACGTATACGGAATGATGCATTAAACACGCTCACCCTTAACCCAATTTTTCTTTAATAAAGAATTTAATCAAATTTTGATTTATAAAACTTTTCAATTTACTTAAAGACTTTATTTTCAAATTCTTGAGAATTTTTCGTATTTTTAAGTAAGGACTCTGTCTCCTGTTGTGATGCGAATTTTTTTTCCAAATGAGGACCATTATTTTTTATAATTAATTGATAAGCTGATGATTTTATTTTAAAAATATTGAAGTGTAACTTCGTGTCATAGGCGGATCCAGCCCGAGATTACGAGGGGCGAATACTAAAATAACTTATATACGTATAAGTTTTACTATAAAATGAAAAAAGCAAAAAAAAAGTCATCAGATAACCTAACTTAACCCCCCCCCCTGCACTTCAAACGTGTAAGTTTTACTATAAAATTGAAAAAGTAGAAAAAAAAGATTATCAACTAGCTTACGGGGTGGGGAGGCTGAATCTGCCACTGCTTAATGTATCTACTAAATATTGTATAGGTTTGAAATATATGGGGGATTGTGATGATTTAAAAATTAGTAACTAATGCTTATATATTAAAATGTTATAGTTTATAAAAATTGTTTGAATCTAAAAAATACTATAGTTATTAAATTTTATTGGGTTTCTACTTATATGTATTTAATATTTTTGTAAAATTATTTTCAAGGACTATTAAATTTAATATACTTTTTTTAATTTGAAAACTATTTCTACTAGTTTGAACTTTAATTTAGATACATCAAATATTTTTATATATCAGCAAGTATGTGAAAAGCGAATGATGACTATAATATTATAATATACGTATGTATACTGTACACAGTAGGGCAATTAAAAAGTTTGACGGCAACAATATATCATTTTTAGAACCAATAGTTTATAGCTCATACTATTAAAAGTTTTTTAATTTTTTTTTTTTTTTAATAAAATTTAAAAATAATTTTTAAATTATTTGTAATTGGAAGCATAATAAATTATTTTCTAACGATGAATTGGATATTCAAATATTAGATATACAATATGTATTGAACAAATATTTATTTTTTTCGCTAATAAATAATACATATTTTATTTGAAATATAAACGAGTAGAGTAAAATATGGCAATAATTAATACTCAACAAAATGTGGGGTTCGCTATATATTCATGTAAATTCATATTTAACCAATGCACATATTAAAAATTGTATTTGTTTAAACATTTAATTCCACATTTTATAATTTTTATAAAGATATAACTGATAGATACCTAATTCAAACTATATAAATACCGAATATTTTTTCAAAATCTTTAAAAATAAACATAAAGATCAGTTAAATAGATCATCGCTGCAGTAATTAAGTGCCATGAGCAGGACTTAGGGCTGACTCAAGATATTAATGATACCCTTCAAGAGTGACAATTTTTTAAGGATGGTATATTAGTAAAGTATGTCCATGTCTTACATTTAGATCTGAAGAAAACAATTTGTATAATTTTTCGATATTTTTCTTGATATTTCTTGGTTTTATAATTTTATTTATACAGACAAAATATAAAAATTAAATATTTATTGCCTAATGACTGTTATCTAAAATTTAATAAACTTACATTGGTACTTAAGTACTTAGATTTCTAATATATTCCGTTTAAAATGTCTGCCTATTCATTAAACATTATGTATGCTTCATTTTAAATTTACCAGTGTGGAGAAGTAAAATTAATGTAAAAATTATTTTAGAAGCAGCAAATTCATTTTCCATTTATTTAATGTTTGAGTTAACTCTGATATATGTCACTGTATTATTTATTTTATACCTACAGTACATATATATCCTAGAGGGAAATGACTAGTCAGCATTATATGATAGTTTACCTTAAGTCATGAAAAAACCTCTTTAAAGAAGATGTCTAACCTTTTTATTTTTTAGTTATAACTTATAAGCAATTTAAGTTTTTAAGCAAAACCGAACCTATCGCACATTTGGTATCCAATATGGACAACTGAAATTTAACAATAGCACTATTAAACTCTAACTATGCTATTTAAATATATCACAACTATAATTACGGTATGAAAACATTTTGTCTTATATTTAATCCTGTACACATAAATCGATGAACGATTCTAAAAATTCTAAGCTAATCACGCTTGGTAATGTATTATTTAGTAATTACGGGGAAAAAACTTTTATATTAAATTTATAAGACGAAATACCATCTGAGATCCCAATTGGAATCTTATGGCAGGCAATTGAAGTTTTCAAAAAAAATACACAACAGTCAAGTTATTAAAAAAAAATTCAAATAAAATGTTAAAAACGTTTGAAGATACATCAGCAAACGTGCAGTGGATTCGGGTTTGTTTTAAAAAAAGATAATTTTCCAAAAACAAAATATAAAATTTAATCTCCCTTCCTATAAGGTTTTTTTTTTAACTAAGATATACTACTATATTATGACGCCGGCTGATCACTTTGCTCCGGGGCATATCGTATATCGTATATTACATTATTATAATTATATTATAATTATTATATGTGTTTTCAATCGATAATCATATAGTTACGAATCTAATATTTAAGCGATTTATATGAATAAATTCTGCTATGATTTCATAATTAATATTACTTTTCGTTGTTTTTTTCTTAATTTTTGTAGTTAAATGAATATAATTAAAAAAAATTATGTATATATATATTTATATAAATATGTTTATGTATCTCAACGTTACCTGTGACGATAGTGTATAATCATTTGGCATACAAAATTCATTCGATTCGTATGTATTTGCGATGTCCACATTATTCAACTCCCACATCCTTAAAACATATTATAAACATTTGATTTCAGTAAAATATTTGGCTATTATAACGAATATTAAACGTATAAATAGTAATTTGAAATATAATTATGTATATCATGTCGAAATTGTACAATAATTATACTTAACTTAACCCTAGGTATCTACTACTTACCATAATAATTAATAACAGTAATATGTTTGATGATTAACTGAATTTAGATATTAGGTACCTATACCTAATATATAGTAAGTATATTTTGTAGTAAATAATATTCTTCTTAATTCTTTTAAAACTTCTGTATCTACTTATTTTCAAGTATTTGGATTTTCTAGAAATATATAATATAAATACTTGTTTGTATTATTTTTTCCTTTTAATATAGTGTAGATACAGTGTACCTACTGTACAACTATTTGAACAATTGATATCATAATATACACTTATTGACTTTTATATTATCGTAAAGACTATCGTATTATCATGTCTATTTGATTTTGTCCTGTTACGTAAAATATTTCGTACGTAAATATAACATTTATGTATAGAAATATTGATTGACTTCATTTTCTTATTTGAGACCTTCAAATATATATTTTAACTTTCAAATTACCAATAATAGTAGGTATGCATAAATAATTAATATTAATTTTTAATTATGTTTTCATATAACTAAAGAATTTAAATATTTAAATAATCTAAAATGAATTTAATTTTATAAGTCTGTAAAATCTTGTTTTTAAAGATACCGTATTACAGATGCTATTACTTAATTGATTAATTTGTAGAATAAGTTTCATAATATTCGAAAATTATCGTATAAATATAATATGGCTATCAAATAATTGAGAACACTAAACCTTTTTGTTTGAAAGATTTAGAAGTGAGTACACTTGTCACTTAAAATTCACAAAAAAACCAACGCTTACCCAAAAACTAATACGATTGAGATCGAATTTACATATAACTTTCCATATGATTTAATTGGTTATCGAATGATTTACAATATTAACGCATTGAATTTTAAATTGAAAATTTTAAAGTAACGAAAAATAATAATAATAATAAATATTTTTGAAATAAGTTTCAATAAATATATTTATAAATAAATAAAATATGTGATAAAAATTTTCCATGTTATAGTTTTAAATTATCATGGTTATAATCTCATAAAAAATATGGCTGTGTAAATGGGGGTTACTCATTTGTGCTAAAAAAAATTAATTCATTTTAGTTATAGCCCATTTGTGGCAAAATAAAAAAGGTATATTTTTCCGACAGCCCATTTGCGCTAAATTTACCATGTGAACATTTTACATTAACGAATTGGTTAATTTGTATAGTTATTTAAAAGACGTCGTGTACTTGTGTCTGTAATGTATAAAAAAGTTATTTTTAAAAATCTATATAGATTTTAAATATAACTGAAATTAATAACTAAATAACTAATTCAGATTTTACTATATCTGATGTACTTGCTGTACGAAAAAGTATTTACCGTGCTCGTAAAACCTAAATATGTGTCTGATATTCATGAAGCATTAATCGATATACCTCTCACTACTTCTAAAAACAAAGATTAAAATGTGTGCCTATTATTGATTTTTATTTTTAAAAAAATTGTATAGTTTACTATGATAACCAATAGCTAATAATTTTCAAATAAATATAAACTTATTAACTATTTATTATCTACCTTTTGCTCAAAATAATTTGTATTATTATTTATTGGTTATTATTTTTAAAAAATGCATACAATTGACTATAATTTAAATAAAACTATATTGATTATTATTTGAGGAAAAAATATATTGCTTTATTATAATTATACCAGATAAATTTGGTGCAAATGGGCTGTTGGTAAAAACATACCTTTTTTATTTTCGCGCAAAAGGGCTGTACTCAAAACGAATTAATTTTTTTTGGTGCAAATGGGCGATGCCCGTATAAATAATGGGTTAATAATTATTAATAAATGAATAAAGGCTATCTATATATATATGTCAATTCTTGGGTAGCATTAGCTGATATATTCTAAATATTTTAATGAATTACCTAAATTTCGTATTACATATTATATTTATTTTTAATGTTATTTATTTTGTTTTTTAATTTTTTTTTTTACCTTATTCTAACATAACTCATAAACTTTAAAAACGTATCTTTGACTTCTTCACGAGTTTATCACTTAAAAATTGTAAATCAAATAATGATTTAAGTTACTTCTAGGTCATTACACTTTTAATATGCATTTTGAAGTCGATTTTTCATATTTATCTAGTACAATACTAAATATCGTGCTCAATTGTTTGACAAAAATGATTAAATATAGTTACTTTAACATTAAATCAACAAAAATATATTAATTGTAGTATATGTCAGTGGTTAGTGTTAAAATTCGATATGCATGTGCGTGAGATTGGTGGGAAGAGATCGCAAGGATATAGAATTCTTACTATTTTGTTTTCTTACTAGGATAAGTAGACGATTGAAGCGTCTGGAACCATAATACCTTTTTCTTTATGTTTGGCTTTAAACGTATAAATAAAATTATTTGAAAAATTTAATGAACTTAACGATTTTTAATATTTTTAATTTTTAATTTAGACTGATTTGTTAACTTAATAAGACGATTATATAACGACTTCTGCCGTTCCTATGTATTGAATATCAATACCTATATATTTATACCTACATATTTCTCTCACTGAATGTTGCTATATAATAATTCTATTATAATATTTATATTGCGTATTGTGTTATGAGTTTAAGTTATCACTGATTGTTGTTTTTGAAAGTCAGATTTTCAAGTGACAACTAAGACAATTGAATTTATTAATTTTATTGTATTAGGTAAATCTAGATAAACAGAATTCTATGTTTACTAATAAGAATTATATTTTAAATTTATATGAATATTATATTTATTTGTAAGTTTTAATATGTTTAAAAAAAAAAACGATACTGGGGTGTGTGAAATCTGTATTAAGTAATTTTGTAATTGGAACAGTTTTTAAATCGTTTGATTGAGCTCTTCTACACTTAATTTTTCCCAAATCGAGAATTGTCAATAATATACTTTTATTATTTTAAAAACTTGAAACTGTTTTCGAAGTTTGGTTTTGGATGATTTAAATTGTATACAATTCTAATATATTTTACACTATAAATGTAGGTATTCTGATTTTTTCACACTTACGTTTGCTAGGGAACTTTTAACATTGACAACAATTTTTTTATGGGAATTTATATTTTTAGTAACATAATATAAATAAAATTACTTTTCTAAATATTACATAAATGAAAAATGTTGTTACAAATTTCTATGGAATTCTTATTGGATCAGCATTGACTACGATCTAATAATAGTATAAATTATAATACATTCTATATGTATGACATTTCTACACAAATTATGATAAATAATAAAGATTTAAACGTATGTATATTATACATGAATACATAAACATTATATTACAGATTAATGATTATATGGTGAAAAAATTGTAATATCAATAATATCATGTGTATATACTTTGCAGTTGTTATATTTTTGTATTTAATCAATTGTATACTTTATACTTTTGTAATCTTAAAATTAAGTTTTTAGATTTTTTCGATTTGTAGTTTTGATTTTTAATATTAATTTGTATTTATATAATGTTCTTATTTTTTTATTATATTTAGCAGTAATTTTAATTCTCTATCTCCAACACAAGCTGCATTAGTTATTAAGAGGCAGGTTGATCGATTCTGTAATTAATTTTTAATTTTTATTTATAACATATGTTTTGTTTTTTATAAAAAAAATAAAAATAAAAATAAATAAATACCTAGAGATAGACAATTAATATTCAATGGTACTTAAATTATATAATAATAAAACAAAATTAAACTAATAAATCAAAATTATTGGTGCAGCAGATTATATATCACTGTATTATGATTATTAATTTACTAGTATTCGTATGTAATGAATCTAAAAAAATTCATTAGGTTTTTTAAAATAATTGCATCAATTAAAAAGCTTTGAAAAAAATCTCAAATAATAATAGTACAATAACTAATAATCGTATAAAAATGCACTTTGAATTAATTTATGATTAAAATTTTGTTGTTACTGTAAAAAAAAAAGTATAGAATCTTTTAAAATTAAACAATAGTTAAAATAGTTTAAAATTAATTTAAAGTGTTTATTATACATTACAAGGTTCGATGCAAAATTTTAACAGTAATTATTAATAAATATGTATAATATATAAAATATATATTTCAACCTAAGTATATACCTATAATTTGTTTATTTTTAGCATTAATAGTTAACCACATATTTAAATTATGATACTTCATTACTTTTTAAAATGTTTATTATGTATTGGTTATTGACAATAATTAAAGGGGTTAAAATAGCTAATTAAATACTTCATTATAAACTTTAGTGGTTACAATTTTAAAAAATAACGAATAATTTTCATTAACCTATTAGTTAACAATCGAGTATATACTACAGATATGTATAATTTTTTTGGGTTTAAACAGAAAAATAATCATTTAAAACATTTCAGATAACTTTTTTATCAATTAAGAATTTGATATAAATTTTAGTTTAAATTAAATTTTTAGAATTTTTAGCAGAATTTTCAAAAATTCATATTTACAAACAAGGGTACTTTTTTTAATAATAAATAGGTTCTCATATTTAGAAAGGTTCTTAAAGTTTTTAAAAATATTATGTTTTACGTAATTTGAAAATATTTTGGAAAAGCTATATTTTTAATTTCATGTTTCTAATTACAGCAGAATATTTTTTTATAAATATTGACTATAAAAATCGAATTTTGAAAAAGTATAGATAATAAGTACAATAACTTACAATTATACATTTAAAGTTTTAATGAGCGGAGTTGTGGATCAATATTTTACCGCTTAGTAATAATAATAATATACATCGCGCATTTAATTTTTAAATACTTATAATTTATTAATAGATTACTCGTATAAAATCTATATAGATATAAAAAAATTAATATAGTATGAAAATTGAAAGAAAAAAAATATAGGTTTGTGAATTTTTAATGACTGAATTGTGTAACATAAAATATTTTCAAAAAAATCAAGATAGTAGATTCTTTGGTCTATTAAATATGAACTATTATCGTATTTTATGATCATTTATAAATTTGATAAAATTAACAGTTTTTATGTTTTAAATTCATCTAAATAATAAATATTTAAACAATATAATATATAAGTAATATAAAAATATGGCGTAATTTAGCCATTAAGTAAATAAGATATATGTACAAGTTGTATGTTAATTTATGAATTCATTATAAATCCAAACAAGTTTTATTAATCCAAAAAAAAAAAAAAAAAAAAATTAAGAAACACACAATCAAACTGAATTGTATTGATAATATTCCATACTTCTACCTAAATAATCTGGTTTCATTTGTTGGTGTATTGAAATATTCGATATCTAATTATTTTTCTATACTTTTATTTATGTAATTTTTTCCATTTATAGGGCGATCTAGAATTTGGAATAATATGTGTTATTTAAAATTTAATTTTACTCACATGAATGCTTTTGTTACACTGTTGTCAAAATAGTATTAATTTGTACAACTAATATTGTACAGATATTGATTAAGCACCGTTCGAATTACGCATCTAATATGATATTATTATTATTCACATTTAAACATGACAAATTTTCAATAACACTAAATGTATTAATAAAATATTTATAGTTAATTTATAAACTGTTCAAAATCATGTAAACACGCGTGTATATATTCCAGAAGACAGACGTAGTTCTTTCTATGGTACACTATTTATCATCACTAACTTTAACTATAGTATATAGCTAAAAGATTAACTGATCAAGCTCACCGGTTCCTGGTCCATATCGCGACGACCATTGCCCCTCTACTATTCCGCGTCCTTGGGCAAATATTATTTGTGACCTGACCTAATGAACATGAAAAATTTCAAATGCTAAATTTATTATAAATTATTTTCAATAACAACAACAATGGTATTAATCTGTATAATTATTTTCGTTTATTATTACTGGAACTTCAAAAAAATTGTATTTTCAATATCCAGCTTAAAAATGTATAAATGTTGAAATCTAATAAATTAATAAAATAATAACCTTGGTAAAAATTTAAAATTCAGATATATTAATGAAATTTTAAGTTAAATATTTCTGCAGAATTTATTAACGTATACCCATATTATTCAACTGCGATTTAAATAGTTTTTCAGGAGAGGGGATTTATTACCTATTTAATGTTATAAAGCAAATTTTTTAACAATATAATAAAATAAATTATAAATTTTAAATTTTATAAAGAATACAAAACTGTTAATCATGTATTTGTTAATATGACTATTATAAGATAAAATTAATTTTTTTTACATAAACAAATATTGTAAAAATAATAATGGTTATTCTAACTTTACTACAATATAGACAATAAACTAAAATGTGAAAATTAACTTATAAAATATCAAAAAACTTTAGTTTGATTAATCAAATATTTATTTATTTGATCGAATCGTTTTTTTTTTTATTATTATTATAACAACAAGTCTACGAATTTAACACTATTGCAGTTTGGATTAAAATAAGTTTTGCTAATATGCCAAGCTAAATGTACAGAGTGTTCATCTCTTTTTATTTTTAAATTATGCAAGTTTTTCGAAATATAATTTTCGAAATTTTTAAGTACCTATGTATAAAAATCATACTTTCATATTCTTGAGATATTAATAATACTTCAAAAGTGTTCTATGTATATACAAATTTTTGTTTTTAAAATTAAAACACCCTTTTCTACTGTTAATTATTTTTTGGATAGTTTTTCATAAATTTTTATGCAACAATATGGGGACATATTGTAAATATGGTTATTTTAAAATTGTTGTAATTTATATTAGTCAATTAATATTTAAAATTTATAGAAATGGCCCCAGTATAATAAATACTAAATCAAATATTACATCTATTTTTATATTTTTGTAAAATCAAAAAAATATTAATCTTTTGAATTAAGTATATCAAAGTTTTAAAAATAATTACCAACTTAATAATTTATACTAAAAACCGGGGTTCTCATTTGTAAAAAAAACCAGAAGTAATACAGACAATTTCAAGAATTTGATCATATAGTCTTTAAGTATACTTAAAAATGATGAACTGCATAAGTATATAGGTATTTATATTCAATTTTGACCCATGTACTTAACATATAGTTTAAACAATAAAAATTTGAATGCAAAAATAATCAACTTTAGCACTCTAGTCATTTTGGGTTCTATGACAAAATTTATATACTTTTGTTATGTTTAGAAGTATTATTTTGTATAAAATACATTAGCAGCTGGTTCGAACTTACGACTATCATATAAAATTGTTAGATCTTGGCCCAGTTAGCCCCCCTATCGTATGTATTTCACATAAACTACATATAGCAGGCACAGACAGACCATCGTGGCTTTTCGTAGACAGGGTTGAGATGTATTCAAAAAAATTAGATGATTATATACATAAATATTGTAAATAATAATTTACTAAATATTAGTATATCATAACGAAGGCATTATAAAATAAAATTTAGATTTTCTCTGTAAATAAAATTTTTTTCATTCCTACAATTTAGCAGATAATTTATCTTTTTTTGTTGAAGAATTTACAATGTTACATTGATATTTGATATCAAACTATAGTAATATTAAACAATATAATGGTTAGGTATTATTTTACTCGTTAGTTAGTAAAAAGGTATACACGAATAGTACGTGTGCCATAGCTAAGTAAGCGAAAAATAGAAATAAATGGTTAAAAAAAGTCGATTTATTCCTGTCAAATGAGAAATCGATGATTTTCAGAACACGTCACATACTGTTTGTAGTTGTACATATACAATGTACATGTATACGAAATGAACATCTTGACTTTGAACAAACCAAATTCAACACACGCATACATACCGCTAGCTATATAGATACCTGTATAGTGTACGCGAAAGTAATAAAGTCCGAATTAAGACTAGATTTTAGAGAACGGGTATGCAGTTCATTAATGGGCTCGTGCTCTATAGAATAATAAATTATAATCATAAAGGTATCTACTTAAAATATATTTCAAAGAGTTGAATACTGTTGAAAATATAATAAAGAATACACACGAACCGTGGCTACGCCACCAGTTGTCGTTTGCGCATCGCTATTGTTAATTTTGACCTTTTTTGTAAGACAGTTGCGTATCGTTCGATTTTTGGGTTAACATAATTTGTGTATCATCCGTTTAAAAGGTCTTACATCATTTGCACATCAATATTATTTAACAATAGAACTAAAAAGAAGGTATATACCCAAATATGTTAGTTGGGGCAAATGTAAACTCCCCTAAAATTTTGTAAATTCTCCTAAAAACATTTTGCTACCGTATTACACTTACGTAAATTTCCCTAAAAAAATTTAGAACCATTTAGCGTAACCCAGAGGACACCACGTGGAGGCAGTTCTATCTAATTAATAATAATATCATTGTTAATATTAAGTCAATAAAATGCTTATTGATACTAAGATGAGATATTTGTTAAAATAAAAATTAAAAATTATTTGATTTAATAATTTTTTTAATTATATCAACTAATAAATTTTATCGTAATTTTATTAAAATAACTTAGAATTTTGTTAATTTTATCAAATACATTATTAATTTAACGTATATATATTTTGAATTTATAAAAATAAAATTATTTTAACAAAATGGTTATCATATTGAATGTTACTAAAATATACTTAGTTTAATAATAACGATAATGATTTAATAATTTAATATTAACGAAAATGTCAATTAATTAATAAAATTTAAATAAATAACGAAAAAATCGAAATAAAAATGCAAAAATTTATGGAAGTGTAATACACGGTAACAAAATGTTTTTAGGGGAGTTTACTATTAGGGGAATTTACTATTTCATATTTTAGGGGAGTTTACTATTAGGGGAATTTACTATTTCATATTTTAGGGGAGTTTACATTTTCCCTTGTACAGATATTTGTGTTTTAAATTATATTATCATTAATATTATGATAAATAATACTGTAATAATATTGTATAGGTAATCGTTAGCAATAACACAACTAAGATGTACGGTCGAATAATCGATTTTTATCACATAAGTATATCAAACGAGATGTTTACGAGATTACTAGATAGTAAAACGCTTGAAACACTGTCGAGACTACGGCTTTACGAGATATATGAGACATAAACATTATATTATCATACTGGACATACTGTAATTTTAACTTTTGAGTTTTGAGTACATGTAAAAATGATTCAATTCAAATTTGTTAATTCAAACCGTGGAAAAGCTGGAATAATTTTCCAAAAGTATTTTTATGTGAAAAGAAAAATACTGAAAACTTGTGAGATCATATTTAAGTGTCTGAAATTTTATTATTTTCAATTTATTTTTATTCGAACTAATGTATATTTGTATTTTAACTATGGATGTAATGTTCCAACAAATATGTTCATTTCAATATGTGCATTATTTATATTATTATGACTACAATACAATAATGAATTCATTATTAATCATTTGTATCTATATTCTATTTATTATATATGATTTATGAAAATCATTAAATTTTCAATCGAAAATTATTTTTTATATAATTCTATATTGTTCAGCATGTTGATGTGTAAATGATGTACAATATTTTGGCACAGGTAAACAGACGGTGCGCAAATGACGTACGGTCGGCTATGAAGTATGCGTCTATATAACACTTCTAGAGAATTAATGATGTCTTTTCATTTGTCCTATGTGTATGGATAACTGCAGCTGCTATCATGTCCATTCTTAAAAATTAATACTTTTAAAATAAAATTTAAATTACCATCTGCAATACATAATTCCTAGTCTTTGGGATCTATGTGCTTGAAATTTTATTTAAGCCAAAATTCATTGTTATAAAATAATCATAAATTTTCGAAATTTAAAATTATATTTAGTAATCTAGGTCAATAAGTACCTATGTAATATTAATTTAAATCATTGAATACAAAAATTGTACCACAGCTTAAAATAAAGTACATATTTGTCAAATAATTCCTTAGACTTCTAAAATTAACCAAAGTACTTGTTTCGAATAACGCAATTCAACAGGCGTTGAAAGTATTTAAAAATTAATTTATTTCAGAATACAGTAAAATATGTCGATAAATATTATACGATATAATAAACAGTCAAACAGATATAAATCGCTTTTTGTTTATAACTCCTGTCTTCATTATATATTTACTTGTAAATAAGTTTAATAATGTCGCCCAATTTTATTCAGGGAACTGAAAACGATTTGATTATTCTTGCTTAATCTATGCTAATCTTTTGTTACGAGTTGGTAATAAGGTTTTGGACTTAGGTATTACATTTGATCGCAAGTTGAATTTGTATTTCCAGTTAAATACAAAATGTTAAGTTTTGTGAGAAGAATTTTTTAGAAGTTCAGATTATTATTTAACACTACGCCCTATAATATGTGCCCTTGTGAGATCTGTCCTGGAATACGGCGCTGTTACATGGGATTTATTTATATTTTGTGATACAAGCCAAATTAAAAAAGTACAGTACTAATTTCTAAACTATGCAGCCTTTATTTTAAATAATGACCATCTATCTCGTGATTATTATTCAGTTATAAATAAGCTTGATATAAGTATTTTAATCAATATAGAAGGAAGATTATTGATTTAAATCTTCTCATAGAACTAGTAAATACCATTATTGACTCTACTATACTGTCTTTACTATTTTTCATGTTTAA